TCGGAGACGTCAACGGCTGGCTCCACCCCGTGGCTCTCCACCGCCCACCCCCACTGCAGTGGGAGAAACTGCAATCTGTGGAGTGAAGTCCGTGAGTTTCATCTTTTTCAAAATCGTATAGCAAGCTAGCTCAATGATCTCAATGGCAGCCACTATCGTTGCTGGTGTTTGTGAAGATCACCAAGACTACGAACTGATGGAACCTTCCGCAACAGAAAATCTGAAAAGGGTAAACCATTCTCTTACGCCTAAGAAAACTTATCTCAACATATCTCAAGCATTCTCAAGCCCTCTTTCACACCCATACAGTAGGCCCATACGGGTAGCAAATGTGCAAGAGTTCTTTTCTCTCAAGATGTCTTATGATGTCTTATGATGTCTTTTGGTGTTTCCGATCGATGTCTTACCATCGTCATGCAGAGAATGTGTTGTCAAAGGTCGACATTGCGTGTGAGCAATTCGTGTTATATCACTGCAGTGATAACATGCCGGTGGATGCCACTGTGTTCTGTCGCTTTGTCACCCCATGTATCGTCACTTGCCAAATATCTCACCATAGCGTTTGAGAAGATTCACAAAATCCCAATCCCACCTACAGCAAATACCACCTATTAGTTTTATCCTGCCAAAGCTCTGTGTACATGACGCATTCAACAGTCATCAAACTGCAATCTGTGGAGTGATCTCTTGCAAAGTTGTATAGCGAGCTGGCTCAATGGCAGCCACTATTGTTTCTGGTCTTTATGAAGATCACCAAGACTACGACTACGACCTGATCAGACCTTCCAAAGCGGAAAATCCGAAAAGTGAAACCGAACGGATGGTATGTCTGACAAAGCGTCATAAAACCTCATGTATCAGGCTCTTTTGCACCCATAAAGGGTTGATCAAGGTTGCACATGTGCAAGATCACCTCTCCAAAGCTGTGCATCCCAGCAGGGACAACTTGATGTGCCTGATTTCCTTCAAAGAATCCACCCTGTGGCTCTCACCTGCTGGAGGTTCATCTCCAGCTAAGGTGGCGAACACCATCGAATTTCATCCTGAAATCCGTGGCACCGCCTTCCCACCACGTCCGTCCTGTCACATCGGTCCCGTCTCTGAGGGCCGCGGCCGTCGCTATCCTTCACGTCGACGGAGGCGCCGGCAGCCAGCAGCGCCTGGACCACCTCCAGGTGGCCTTCCATAGCCGCCAGGTGCAGCGGCCCCTGGCCTCGGTCCGGAGGGCGCTGCTGCAGATGGCGACAGGACGCGCCAAATCACATGAGTTGCTTCGGAGGATTTCGGAGGATTTCGGGTCTGAAAAATTGGGAGTTTGGTCATGTTTGGTCCACCATTTCTAACTGAGACATGTATCACTGCCTATCGAAATCAGGATCAACTGATTGGGAAATATTGGGAAGTCACACCTCTGCCGTGCCATACACTGCAAACCAGATCAAAGATTCACAATGACACACTACAATCTAAGCAAGAGATCATTAGAATCCATTTGCATCCATCTGCCATAATTAATAATACTAGACCCGCAAAATGTCTCCTCAACTTGACTCAACCACCGGAACCACTCTGAATAATATTGTCAAACTTGTAACTGGTGTCTACTGGTACTTGACTTCTCAACATGGAATCGCGTAAAGTACACTGAAGATTCCTGGAACGATCCCAAAACTGGCAGCAAACTCAATGGCGTGTCGCATCTCTTCCACATTTCGCCTGTTGCACCGCCTTCCCACCACGTCCGTCCTGTCGCATCCGTCCCGTCTCTGGGGGGCCGCAGCCGAATATATTCTTCGCCTCGACGGAGGCGCCCGCGGCCAGCAGCGCCTCGACCACCTCCAGGTGGCCGCCCTTAGCCGCATTCGCCAGCGGCCCGTGGCCTCAGGCTCCGCTGATGATGGCGACACCACGCGCAAAGTCACAGGTCGGTCATGTTCCGACTGAAACCCGTATCAGCAACGGATTGGGAAGTCACAGCTGCGCACCTATAACAACCTGCTCAACCTTCAAGCCTATCCCTTCTCAGGTTTCCGCCTCGTCCGTCGACTTGCTCCAGGCTCTGGGGGTCCACCTGCAGCAAGCGTCGGACAGCTCCGACGTTGCCTTCTTCTGCAGCCTGCAAGATGTCTCCGCCTCAAAATGGCCGAAACTCTGGATGTCTAGCAGTGTCTGGCAGTCCAAGGTTTATTCTTAATATACTATACCAGTGGATCAGTCATAATGTATCATAATGTCACATAGTATAGATTCTAGATTTTGCGGCTTTGGCGTTCCTGAACTTGGTTCATTCGACTACTAACAAATATTAACAAATGATTGTCATGCACTGGCAGCACCCAGAGTGCAAAAGCATATTTAAACGGAAGTAATAAACGCATCTTTCAAAGCCCAATGTCACATGTCATTGAGCATGGATCCTCAAGCATGTGGAATCCTCAAGTCTGAGATCTCAGCAATTTTCGATTTCAGTTTCATCTGCCTGGAAAGCAAAGCACGACATTTTGGACAACCAAAAATTAAGCGGAAAGAGATCTTAGAGATTCAGCTCTAGTTTTTTCTGTTGCAGAAAAGGCGTGGAAAATATGATGCCTGCATAGGGTTGGTCTGAGATTGAAACCCGAAATCTGAGGAATGCTTGGAGGTCACCCAGTGAGGGACATTTGCATTCATTTGCCGCAACAGGACGAATTATGCAAATCATCGAAGTGGATACAATATCATACAATATCATAGCAAAAAATGTAGATCCCAAAAAAGCAAGATAAAGCCAGTCAAATCAGTCAATACGACCTACAGCCCCAACGTCTCCTCGTGAATACTTCTCAATTTTGTCAAACTTTGTCCCCAATGGATCCCAATGGAATAACTTCCCCAGATAACTTCCCCAGATCGCCAGACCTCCGCTTCCGACTTGGAACCTCAGGATTTGACGTGTCTGTGTGGTGAGTCTTCGTCAAAAGCCAAGTTGTTCATCTACCAGCATTGGACTTGGAAGAACCACCTGCATCAACCGTCGACCATCAAGAATCATCATACATCATCAACATCAACCATTCCTTAATCGTGCTGACACTCATCACGTGCAAAAGCCGTCTTCAGACTTGTAACCACTTGAAATCCCTGTCCAAAGTTGCCAAACATGATATAAACCCAGTGAATGAAGCCCAGCCAAGCTCCTTAGGACTGAGAACGTTTGTCGGAGTCCCTGCCATGTTTTCATGTCAAAAAATGACAAAAAAAGATCTGATTCGTCAACTTTCAGGGTAGGGTCTGCCTTCCGACTTTCATAGTATGGACTGGTTGTAACATGTCGTCCCCACCACAGCTCCACCGAGTGACCGAGGCCGGGCACTGAGGTTTTGAGTTCCGTCTGAACATCTTGCTTGGTTCAGACGGATCACGGTGCTATGAATCGAACGTTGTTCAAAAAAAACAATGAATTGCAATGAGTTGCGATCATCACAATCACGACATGAAGATAAAAAGCCCAAAGACTTGAAATTTCAAGAAGTGTCCACCAGCCAACATCTTGCTTCATGCTTTCCAAATGTTGGTTCTTCCTTGAAAGTTCTGGCAGAAAATTGGCATCAATTCTGACAAGATGCGATGAGACATTGGCTTGATGACCACTCTCAGAGCTTGATGTCGGTGCAAAAATCCACCGGAGGAACTTCCCGTAATGAACGCTTTCATCTCCAGACATGTCCTCAATCGAACATGACATCCCAGCAATGTTCTCCAAGGATGACCAGTCATATCAGCGAAAAAGAGGCACTGGTCCCAATGGAGATCAATGGAGCCATCATCCCCACATCAAAAGGGTTGAGAGCCATCTTTTTCAAGCCAAGCATCTGCTGCTTCGAGCATCAATGAAAGCCTTGAGAAGCAAAACGCCAAAAAGTTGTTCACAACATCGCAACTCGACAGGTTTAAGCAACTTGGCGTTTTGACAGAATCTGACAGAGAGGCAGTGCTCCATCAGAACAAGACAGAATGAAATAGAATGGGGTGCTGTCCAAAAATAGGTTGGATACCCCAACTTATTGCTTTGTTGTCAAATTCAAACGAGATAATCAATCGTTCTAATCCCTTGAAATTGCGGGAATCCAATTTTCAGACCAAATGTGCTCCAGGCAACTCTCGCTCGCCCATGTGCAGGCCAAGGCCAGAGAAGGTTGACAGCAGCTCGTCCTTCCGGATCATTCCCCGTCCTCAGAACGACTCCCGGCAGTTGAACAGCAGGAGCCGCCCACGGCTACAGAAAAGGCCTGCCATGCTGTGGTGACTGGGAACCAGTGCAGTTGAGAATCCGGTGGGATCCCATTGGCGGAAGATTGCTCTGACATCTGCGTGGTCTGCCTGGCATTGGCTGTGTGTAAAAGATGAGTTCAAGAGATTCCTCTACTGCAAACAACACGTCTGGAAGTTGCACAAGCAGAGCATATCGTATGTATCACTTCTAGATTTGAGATGCTCTAACAATGTGTTTACTTCTTCTCCAACTTTGAGCGTAGAAAATATGTTTTCTTTTAGAGTTGATTCTCAACACACTTCTGCTTGATATCTGTCCAGTCTAAATTGAACTTGTTTGAAGTACTTGGTAAATGGTTCCAGTCAAACACCTTAACAGCTTCATTCTGGAGAGCTTGGTTTTCAAACAGTTTTGGGGGTAGTGTTGTGTAAAACAGCGGATATCATAGGTCCTCAGTGAAGCTTCAAGAACAGCATGCATCACAAACCCCCTGCAAGCTTTCGCCAAAGAACACGGCAGCCATGTCAATGAAACGCCCTTTGGTTTGCACCATGTTTACAAATCCATCTCAATTCGCTATTTTGGAACCAAGCAAAATCCACCATTTCCCGGTTTTAACAGTGAACAGCGCCTCGTCGGGGGAACTCGATGTTTGAGCCGCTACCTGGCACAGCTTGCAGCGACCTCTGATCTGAACAAAGATGGTATACTGGTGACCTACACTGAGAAAATGCACAAAGTAATAAGTAATATCAGGAAAACCCACTTAAAAGTGAGATGAAAAGATGAGGTCTCCTGGCGGGACAGCATTTCCATGCATGCACCGGGTTTAAGCTTTGCTACAGTAGCGTCGTAATGATTTGTATGCACTTGTCACTTCGTGGCACGTATGTCAACTGTAGTCAGCATCAACTCCAATGATATCCAGAGACTTGGATCAACCAGGTAAAGCCGACAAATGCCCTTGACATTCCTAAACACATCGAAGAACAGGAAACTGGAAATCCTTGGAAGCGATTCGCCAATGAACTCAATGAAACAATCCCTGTGTTGCATCATATAAACTTTCACCATCAGAACGGCGGATATTGGTTGCAGGTAGCACACCCGGGACTCCCTACCGAAGTATCGTGGCCATTGTTTTTCTCGGCCATGTGGCTGACGGCGGACCGTCGCCAGGATGGTGAAACTCTGTGAAACTGCGGGAAAGAAACCTTCAAGGTATAGATATGCTTCTATGGAATCAATGTTTAGCACTTGGTATTTATATTTATTTTCAATGGAGGAATATATCAATAGATTATAAGCTATAAAGGGCATAAGCCACCTGTTTCAGGGAGTAGATCGCTTGATAAGACGCTGGATGTCTGTCAATTCCTTCATTTTTAGGCGCTGAAGCAGTGAGTCTAAGACAGACGACTGTGAGTTCCCTTTCGGAACCTCACCTCGAACCAAGCTTGGGACAAAAGACTTAGGATTACTGAAGGGTTTCTGGCACTTTCTGACAAGAAGCCCATGTTGAACCAGAAGCGAAGCCAAAGATGAAGAATAACACCCCATGATCATTGCGTAACATGCCAAGAGATCCTTTTCCTTCATCAAAACTACACCAAGAAGAGTATGTCTTGGTCTATCACGACCCATGCACATACCTCCACTAATTACAGATAGTGGCAACTTAAAATAGAGATAGCAACATCCCAACGTCATGGCCCACCAACCAACAGCACGCCATCCCCTTACCATGTCTTTTCCTCTTTTTCCTCTGACCGAAATCGCCCATGGAAGATCCTAACCACCAGGGCCTGTGACCCGGTAAGCCACTTGAACACTGCGAGCGTCGATCGGAATGTGGTTTTTGGTCGGGGAAGCCAGTGATTGCTGAAAGGATCCATGGATTTTTCATGGTTCATTGGGTTGGAAACCCATCCTGCGGGCATTGTGGGTTGAAATCGCAGCAAATTGTCTTTGTTTTTGGTGGCCGCTCAGCCTGCACTCTCTTCCACCAAGTGGTTGACAATGGACTTAGCAGGGTGGCAGATGGTTTGTCTTTCAAGGTTTCAACGATGGTCCCGAAACAATTCAAAAAGACAACATGTTGCGTGGAAAGGACCTAATATATTTGGCCCACTGATTCAGATTCCCAAACTACGGATGCCTCGCACTAATTACATCCACTTACCAATAACTACAATGAAAGTCATCTTACAGGATGGTGCCCCCCAGTTATAAGGTGGTGGGTGTATAACCCCATCTCATTATCATTATAAGATATTATAAGTACACTATTGTTATAACATGTTATAACATATGGGACCACTTGACCTGAAACTCTCCCGAAAACTTTTCGTTTTATCATGGACTCTGGGATGATCTTCATCGCCTCAAGAGTGGCCCATTTTGATTGACCTAACGTGGCTTTTTGGGTCAAGACTAGGCCTCAATAGAAAGTATAGTGACCTCCAAAAAGAGAGAAAAGTCAAATCCTATCATATCTATCTTTTTCTGGGTTACCATAACTGGTTGAAACCAGTCATAAGCTATTAACAAAGCTTTATGAGCCCGGCAGTAAGCCCACCAACAACAAAAATTGAGTTGCAAAAAAAAAAACTTCCCCCGAATATTAAACACCCGAAAGAAACCATGGTTTAGAATACAGGGGATTTACATGTGTATATATATATATATATCTACTTCGGACCATTTAGGGCGTGTTTAATATTAGGACGATGGGATAATTGTGCAGTCTATTCTAGACCCGCTAATTATTTGACATTCACCCAAAGCCACCTGAGTTGACACCTTAACAAAATTGTACACCTTGCCAGATGTACATACATAATTGTCACACTATGTTTGTCCGATATGTTACATACATTTGCATTTGTTACTATGTGATCTGTCCAAAATATTCTTTCAAAAGTAAAGATGATAAATGATGGCTTCTGGAGCCATCATAACATCTTACAAGATTCAAATAAGTCTTCCATTTTTAAGTGAACAAGTCCAAGAGTCTGAATTTAGATGTCCAATCCTTGAAGTTACCCTGGTAAACGTTTACATAACTATGGAAAATCATCATTTTTAATGGGAAAATCCACTATAAATGGTCATTTTCAATAGCTATGTTAGTCACTACCAGAGGGTAGCATCTTCGTTGTCCAAGATTTTCTCCCCGAAACGCCGCGCAAAAGCGCCATGCTGGGCTCGCTGGGCTCCCTGACCGACACGTTGGGAAAGTCGAAGACCAAGGAGGGCGAGAGAGACATGGCGAACTCCTTGGAGACCTGGCTGAGGAAATTTCACCACAAAAATTGAAAATGAATCAACAACAGTTGGGATTATATATATATGTATATATATATATTATATATATATATATTTATTTATATATATATACATATATACATATATATATATATACATATATACATATATATATATCTCTGTGTGTGTGCATACAACAAAAATTGAAATCTTACCCGCAAATGTTGGGGTTAATCGGCCAAAATTGGAAGTGAACCAACAGTCATTCGTCTTTTTAAGCACCAAAACTGGAAATGTCACCAGCAAAGAAAAGATAGAATTGAAGCGGCAAATTTTGGACGTGATCACAAAGCAAAGGATCCAATCAACAAGATTTGAATTCCATCAACAAACTTTGGATTTAGCGAAGAACCAGATACAATTCGCACGACGATTGAAGAAAATGAGGACCTGGAAGGAAGCAAATATGTGGCCAAGTGATTTCCAGTATATGGGATGAACCAGTTTCAGACCTTGATTTGGGCGCAACAACTGAGAAAGGTTGCCAGAACTAGGAGGACCTTCCAAAATTCGAGTGTCCCTTGGGAAAAAGATAGAGTCGTCTTGGGACACATTTTGCCCAGAAACATTGTATATGAACACATGGGGGTTGATAAGAATCTTTTGGAGTCGGTTTGGACCAAATTTATGACGCGTGTCGGTCAAGAACGTATCAACTTCGGGCCCTTCAAACGAAGAGTGGCTTTACCAAACGAAAGGAGGTGAAGTGGCAAATCTCACGCTGCCATGTCAAATTCTGTCGCAAATTCTCATGTCCACTGCTTCTGAATCCAGTCTGGATGCCTCACAACCCCTTTTAGGTTCACTCCCCTCTGAAAAAATTCAACAACTCCATTTTCTCGGCACACAGAATCTCCCCTTAGTAGAAGATTCTCATCATGAAATGTTATATGAAATTGTCATTCCTGAAATGGTCATTTCCAGCCATCTACCTTTTGCATATCTGTTGCGGCAAATTCGGAAAAATTCCAGTTCCGCCATCGTCCACCTCCGTCACGAGCTGCACAGAAGACAAACCTGGGTTGATCAAAGAATCCAAAGGGATGTATTATTAGTGTATACATCTGTAGATTGATGTTGTTTATTGATTGCAATTCTATATCTCTAATACTCTCTAATATTCTCTCATCATTTACATATGGAGATATATTACACTATATTACACATGTATTTATAGGATGTGATGTTATGGATATGTGGTAGAGTTGAAACCAACATGGGCTTCGGGATCTATTCTTTCAAGATATATCAGATACATCTGTAATTGGTTGCACTTCAGTCTCATGATCGCCTTCATCCCTGGCAAGTCCAATTTCTTGGGCTTCCAACTGTCCATACCTGCTTCCATTAGAGGACTGTCGGCCTTAGTGGATGCAGAGAGATCCTCCAACAGTTGCCTAGCTGAAACAAAAGCAACATACTTGGCTCAGTTGGGTTCATGTGTTTCAAAGCTGGACACATCTCAATCCCAACCGATTCGGGTAGCTTTTGCAACATGTGGCGGGCACCACCACTAGCTCCGGATCAAACTTGCAGCCATGGTTGGACATGCCACCCATGGTGAATCTCCCAGGCAACAAATGTCTTCTTTTTTTCCGTCAAACAGACAGAGCAAATGACCATCAAACAGGGATTTGTTGCAGCAAATTACCATCAATTTCCCTGTTTAATCAAATGGACAAGTTAATGGCTGACAGTTAGAGGGATTTGAGATCCTGGAGCCCATCCAACGTTGCCGACATGGCGATACCCAAGGAATCCCCGAAAATCAAAAATCACATGGATATAAATTAGATAAAAATGAGTGTCCATCCCCTCAAATATGGCATTTTATCTATTGTAAACCCCTCAAAGGTATAGGATTCCTAAATTTAGACGACCTTTTCCTTCCAAGAGATCAAAGATCATGAAGCCAAGTGAAACATTGGTAACTTCTCCATGCGATCAGATATAAACCAATCGTAACCTCTTCGTGACAACACGTAAATCTTGAACATTTAGATGTCTAGAACTCGGTACAGGAAAAAATGGTGGTCAAATTTAGGTGTGTCCAGAAATACAGTAAGGGATAGTAATGTCCCATCGATCAATGGGAAAATTGAAGTTTTTAACTGCTGAATGTTTGGTTTTCAAAACAGAAACTCAAACTCTCAAACCACCTCCCTAAAACACAGCATAAAAGGTTACGAAACCACTGGTTGTTGCCACGTTTTTTTCTCCGACAGATCGGCACGGCCACAAGGCCGAATCTTCCCAACCACCAGGCAGCCAACGCTGATTTCGTCGTCCGCGGCAATCACATCCTTGACCTAAGTTTGGGCGATGCAGGTGCTGGAATTTTGTGGAGGTGCCGCCCCGTTGGAATTCAGCAATGCTAAAGAGTTGGGATTTTAAAATCATTAAAAAAGAATACGGGATTTTAAGGAAATTAAATATATATATATATTTCATAAAAGAAATGATGTGTAGCAAAATCAATCCGTCAGTGGATTGATTTTGTCCGGCAAATCTGAAACCGCACTGCACTCACCGCAAAAAGTGTTTGGGTGGGTTTCGCAAATGTTCCCTTCAACATCTTTTGGGCAGTTACAAACTCCAGTGTAAATCCCAACTTAAGTCCCCATGTTTTGTCAAACACCACCACCATGGTTGGTGGTTTGAACCTACCCCTCTGAAAAATATGAACATCAGTTGGGATGATGACTTATTCCCAACTGTTTCTGGAAAGTCATATCATCCATTCCATGGTTCCAGTCACCATCAACCAGTCCATTTATAGCAAAAAAGACAAGTCGTTTTCTATGGTTATGATATGGTTTCTATGGTTAAACTTTCAATTTTCTATGGTTTAACAATGTTGAACATGGTTAGAAAATCCCCCCATTTTTCCCACCCCCCAGGCGCTCCCCACGATGGCCATGAGCCGCTTCGTGGCCTGCGCGGCATCCAGGCCCTTCTTCTCCGGCACGGCCGCCGAGGCCGCCGCGGCGCCTGGGCATGGGGAAAACTGCGGTTCTGGTGAATTCACCCAGGAAAAATGGCGATGTTCCAAGCACTTGAAGTGGTTTGTTGATATAGAAAATGGGAAGAAAATGGTGAAGCAAAAAGAGATGATTTAACAAAAGATGTTTTTAAAACCCATAGGTAGTTTAACAAAAACGCCAGTTTTGATAGAGTTCAATTTTTGGACTGATTGTAGTTGACCATTATAGATTTCGATGTTCAAATTCAGCAGCCATCCAAATGGAGATTGCGGATGAGAGCCCCACATCATCTGCCGCTTTGAAAAGCACCGCAAGGCCCATTGAAAACGGTCTCAAAAAGTGAATTCAGAATGGGGTTCTTCAAACTAAAAAGTCAAGAAAAATGTTAACCAAACAAGAATTACTTTATATATATATATATATGTATACATATAATCCAAATCTTACCTCACAGGGTGAAGCCTCAATGCTGGTGCCGGCCTGCAGCTTGCTGGGCCTCCGGCCTTGGTGAAAGAGAGAAATTTGGAGCCAACAAAATTGGGATCGTAAGAGAAATTGACCATATGGAGATTTCCTAAGTCATGGGGGTACCCCTAGTTCTCATCTATGTATAGATGGTTTTTCCATTATAAACCATCCATTTTGGATGAAAAAACTTAGGGAGTTCATCGAAAGTCTCTGCGTTCCCACCAGGCACCCGTACGCCGCGGCTTCGGTGGCAATGGCTGCTTGAACGGGAGGAGCCACCACCTCCTTACCTTGGTCAAGCTGCAACGAGGGAATTGACCAACAATAACAATGATGGGTATGGTGTGTGTTTACTAGATGGATAACAATATGGGGTAACTAATATTTGGCCAACAATAACAATGATAGGCCGAAATTCAGTGGTGTGTGTTTTTTGTTTTTTCTAGACTGGTGATTCACCCTTCCAAACATTTTTTGGGTGTTCTTCAAAACGCTGGAGAGGGGAGTATTCACCAACAAAACTAGAATATTGACCGTTCACCATCTAAAAATCCGCCGCCCCCTGCCTAGCCTTGGCGTAGGCGGGGCGGCGCCTGGGATCACCGCAGGTGTGCAGCATCAGCCAAGGCCATCTTCCTGGCTATGTCTGTCGCCTCATTGCCTTTCTCCTGTCCACGTCTGTCACGAAACCATCCCGCGCAGCGCGAAGCACCCCTCTGCAGCCCATTGCCAGCGCCTTGCCAGGTCGAAATAATGCAGTTAGAAGGTTTCAAAACCTGCGCGAAGCACGTTCCACCAGGGCCCGAAACCCTTCCGTGCAGCTTTAGCCTTTGCCAGCGCTTTGCCAGGTCGTATCTTGCATTTCGACGCTTTCCACCCTAGGACACGAAACCCTCCTATGCACCTTTCCCCCTTTGCCTTTGCCTTGCCAGGTCAAAATATTGCATTTAGAGGGTTTCAAAACCTGCGCGAAGCACGTTCGACCAGGGCCCGAAACCCTTCCGTGCAGCTCCTTGCCAGCGCTTTACCAGGTCGAATATTTTTGTTTTTCGCCCTTTGCCTTTGCCTTGCCAGGTCGAAATTCTGCATTTAGATGGTTTCAAAACCTGCGCAAAGCACGTTCCACCAGGGCCCCAAAACAAACCCTCCGTGTAGCTTTAGCCCTTTGCCAGAGCTTTGCCAGGTCGAATATTGCATTTAGACGGGTTTCCACACCTGTGCCAGGCACGTTTCACTAGGACACGAAACCCTCCTGTGCACCTTTCGCCCTTTGCCCCTGCCTTGCCAGGTCGAGATTCTGCATTTAAGAGGGTTTCAAAACCTGCGCGAAGCACGTTCCACCAGGGCCCGAAACCCTTCCGTGCAACTTTAGCCCACCTTGCCAGCGCTTTGCCATCGCCCTTAGCCCTTGCCTTGCCAGGTCGAAATACTGCATTTAGAGGGTTTCAAAACCTGCGCGAAGCACGTTCCACCAGGGCCCCAAAACCCTCCGTGCAGCTTTAGCCCTTTGCCAGCGCTTTGCCAGGTCGAATATTGCATTTAGACGGTTTCCACACCTGCGCCAGGCACGTTTCACTAGGACACGAAACCCTCCTGTGCACCTTTCGCCCTTTGCCCCTGCCTTGCCAGGTCGAAATTCTGCATTTCGCCCTTTGCCCTTGCCTTGCCAGGTCGAAATTCTGCATTTAGAGGGTTTCAAAAACTGCGCGAAGCCCCAAAACCCTCCGTGCAGCTTTAGCCCTTTGCCAGCGCTTTGCCAGATCGAATATTGCATTTAGACGGTTTCCACACCTGCACCAGGCAAATTTCACTAGGACACGAAACCCTCCTGTGCACCTTTCGCCCTTTGCCCCTGCCTTGCCAGGTCGAAATTCTGCATTTAGAGAGGGTTTCAAAACCTGCGCGAAGCACGTTCCACCAGGGCCCCAAACCCTTCCGGGCAGCTTTAGCCCCTTGCCAGCGCTTTGCCCTTTGCCCTTGCCTTGCCAGGTCGAAATACTGCATTTAGAGGGTTTCAAAACCTGCGCGAAGCACGTTCCACCAGGGCCCCAAAACCCTCCGTGCAGCGTTGGCCCTTTGCCAGCGCTTTGCCAGGTCGAATATTGCATTTAGACGGTTTCCACGCCCGTGCCAGGCACGTTTCACTAGGACACGAGACCCTCCTGTGCACCTTTCGCCCTTTGCCCCTGCCTTGCCAGGTCGGGATTCTGCATTTAAGAGGGTTTCAAAACCTGCGCGAAGCACGTTCCACCAGGGCCCGAAACCCTTCCGTGCAACTTTAGCCCACCTTGCCAGCGCTTTGCCATCGCCCTTAGCCCTTGCCTTGCCAGGTCGAAATACTGCATTTGGAGGGTTTCAAAACCTGCGCGAAGCACGTTCCACCAGGGCCCCAAAACCCTCCGTGCAGCTTTAGCCCTTTGCCAGCGCTTTGCCAGACGGTTTCCACACCTGCGCCAGGCAAATTTCACTAGGACACGAAACCCTCCTGTGCACCTTTCGCCCTTTGCCCCTGCCTTGCCAAGTCGAAATTCTGCATTTAGAGGATTTCAAAACCTGCGCGAAGCACGTTCCACCAGGGCCCCAAACCCTTCCGCAGCGCTTTGCCATCGCCCTTTGCCCTTGCCTTGCCAGGTCGAAATACTGCATTTAGAGGGTTTCAAAACCTGCGCGAAGCACGTTCCACCAGGGCCCCAAAACCCTCCGTGCAGCTTTAGCCCTTTGCCAGCGCTTTGCCAGGTCGAATATTGCATTTAGACGGTTTCCAACACCTGCGCCAAGGCACTTTTCACTATGCTCATTTTAGAGGGTTTCAAAACCTGCGCGACGCGCGTTCCATCACCAGGGCCCGAAACTCTGAGGGTTTCAAAACCTGCGCGAAGCACGTTCCACCAGGGCCCCAAAACCCTCCGTGCAGCTTTAGCCCTTTGCCAGCGCTTTGCCAGGTCGAATATTGCATTTAGACGGTTTCCACCCCTAGGAGGCACGTTTCACTAGGACAGGAAACCCTCCTGTGCACCTTTCACCCTTTGCCATTGCCTTGCCAGGTCGAAATACTGCATTTAGAGAGGGTTTCAAAGCCTGCGCGAAGCACGTTCCACCAGGGCCCCAAACCCTTCCGTGCAGCTTTAGCCCCTTGCCAGCGCTTTGCCATCGCCCTTTGCCCTTGCCTTGCCAAGTCGAAATACTGCATTTAGAGGATTTCAAAACCTGTGCGAAGCACGTTCCATGAGGGCCCCAAAACCCTCCGTGCAGCTTTATAGCCCTTTGCCAGCGCTTTGCCAGGTCGAATATTGCGTTTAGACGGTTTCCACACCTGCGCCAGGCACGTTTCACTAGGACACGAAACCCTCCTGTGCACCTTTCGCCCTTTGCCGCTGCCTTGCCAGGTCGAAATTCTGCATTTAGAGGGTTTCAAAACCTGCGCGAAGCACGTTCCACCAGGGCCCCAAACCCTTCCGTGCCAGCGCTTTGCCATCGCCCTTTGCCCTTGCCTTGCCAAGTCGAAATACTGCATTTAGAGGGTTTCAAAACCTGCGCGAAGCACGTTCCACCAGGGCCCTAAAACCCTCCGTGCAGCTTTAGCCCTTTGCCAGCGCTTTGCCAGGTCGAATATTGCATTTTTGCGGTGTCTTTTTCTGGCCGCCCATTCTATTGAGCGTTGACAGAAGGAATGACTGACTACAGTGGAGTGTTTCTAAGACATGGGACTGGGATAGTTTGAAAACTTGTTTACCTCAGGGCCTCAGGGTCGCAGATAGGATGACCATCAAAAATATGATTCCAGGATAGCAGGTGGCATGGCTACAGGAAGACTGGTGGCTTGAGAAAAATTCATCAACGGATTAGAAGAGAGGTGCTTCCAGAATAGGAAGTAGAATGGTTAAAAGAACAGAGGTGTTTCCAGAACAGGAAACAGAATGTTTAAGAGAACAGAGATGCTTCCAGAATAGGAAACAGAACGGTTACAAGAACAGGGGTGCTTCCAGCATAGTAAATAGAATGGTTGCAAGAATGGTGCAGCAAATGGTTAAAAATATTTTGTCATACTAGCCCTGTAGCTGCAATATTCTCATAACACTATAGTCTATAGTTAGATATCCAAATACTGTTTTAAGTTATGACTCTTACATTTTCTCAGTCATCTGCGATTCCGAAGCCTCAAAAAGGGGGGCGGCGGCACCTGGGCGTTAGCCCATTTATTTAAGGTACCAACAACGGCGATGGTTCAGTAGGTGCATCGGTCAAACGTAAACTACAAATCGGACAATGAAGTCGAGAAATGCCCGTGTTTTTCCACAACGGTGATATTCACGAATACAACACGAGTATTGACCTTTTGGGATTTGTATATATGTATAAAATTGTATGCATACATATATATATACGTGCATATATATATACATATATAATTGCATATGTATTAACCCAACAAGAACAGAACGATTGGTGTGTACGGGTCTGGGTCACGATTTCAAACCCTGGGACCGACACGCAACAAACCCATCATTGACAGCGAAAGAATGCGCGCCTTTTATAGCCAACATCCATCGTCATGTTCAAGGGTCATAAAAATTGACTTGAGTTACTGATTACCCTCTGGTAAACTAACATAACTATGGAAAATCACCATTTTCAATGGGAAAATCCACAATAAATGGTGATTTTCAATAGCTATGTTAGTCATTACCAGAGGGTACTCATTGAGCTACTCATTACTCATTGAGTTCTTCACCAACAAAGGCTGGCGGCTAGTTCATTTGCCACGGCATCTGCAGGTCGAAGCCTCCAAAAAAAACTTCGATATGTCATACTGTTGTAAACCCAATGGGAAATCTCTGACTGAAAAAGGTTTGTACCAACGACCTGTGGGAACAATAATGGATTATTCATTATTCAGAATTATTCATAAGTATTCATATTCAAAATAGATTATTCATTTACCCTCTGGTGAACTAACATAGCAATGGAAAATCACCATGCTATTCATGGGAAAATCCACTATTTCTATGGCCATTTTCCATAGCTTTTTGTATGTTCACCAGAGGGTAGTAATTCCAAATCATAGACCAGCCACACATGTGGGGCTCCGTTTCGTGCTCCCCCTGGGTTCCCATGCTCTTCTTCTCCGCTTTCTCGATGCGTTCCAGGCAGCTCTTGGCTTGCCCCTCCGCCTGGCGAATGTTGAGATTGGAATCGTTCCAGTCGCATCATTTCTTGAGATTCCTCATGAAAATCATCAAAATCATCAAATTGTGTGGATCACAAGATCATACAAACCATATCCAACCATATCCAGCTTCCAACTTCCAACCATTTTTGCAACTGCGGCGCCTGGCGATCGTGTAAGCCACTGGCCTGTTTGATGGCCTGATCCGCCACCTCCTTGGCCTGGCATCAAAAAAATCACCCCATTTTTCGACCCACAAAAAGGTGGGAAAAGGTGGGAAAATTCACCGGAAAAATGGCATGTTGGTGATTTTTGATGGAAAAAATTGGAATGTTTCTGATGTTTCATGGCAAAATCTTCCGGAAAAATGCTGGAAATGCGATGTTTGTGATGTTTGATGGAGAAATCTTCCGGAAAATGCGGATGCAACTTTTGCTGATTGGAGATAGTTGAAGGGGATTAAAACAACGATATTTTGGAATCGAAGCAACAAATATGGTGGATTGAAGTGACGAAACTTGAATAATTATGTTGCTGATAGAAATGGTTGATGGGGATTTAGTCACCAAAAAAAAATACTGGATTTTATATGATTTTATCTCAAATTTGTATAATACAACCACAAGGGATTTGCAGATACTGAAACTCATCACTTGTAGGTAGTTCAAAACTCGTCTCGAAATGGGCAGGTGAGGTTGCCCGAGGAGAGTTGGGCGACTATCCACTTTCGAGGGAAAAGTCAAAGACGTGGCCCCAAGCCATGCACAAAAATGGGGAGGTCACCAACAAGTCTTCAGCATCTTGGGGAGTTTCGAAATCTGAGGTGAAATCTGATGAATCCACAAAATGCCTGTTTTTTAAGGCACAGGGCACATCATCCACACAATGGGTCTTTCCCCAAATGCAGGACCCCATCCCTGGCACCTCATCGTAATGCTTCAAACCTGCAGCACTCGGTGCACTGATCAAAAATCACCGCAACTCTTGACACCATTGGAATATTGGTCATTCACAAAATGGATGGATCAAAGTCGTGAATTCCCAAAACAGCCCAAACCTATGGTGATTTCAATACTGATATGGTCTAGTTTGGGATGATTTGAGGGCATCCCCATTGTAGGAAACGTGAATTTTTGCCACCATCTATTTGCACGCTAAAGACAACTGAAAAACTTTGTCTGTGTCTTTGTTCTCTTCAATTCATTGAGTGCCTGATTGAAACTCATCCACTTTCAATACAGAAATCTTCCAAAAATCTTCCAACATCTTCCAACAAAATAAAAAATCGATTTCTTAGTCCACCCAGTTCCACCCATCTTATAAATATTGTGTGTCTATACATGTGTATATATATATAACATATGTATTATATACAGAGGCATTTATTCCCAATAGCTCCCTCTGGATCGCTGGTTCCAGCTCCGGATCCGTACCTGCCAGGCAATCAGCTGCCAGGACCTTGCACTGCACCATGGCACCTCGGGGGAGCTGGTGGTCAGGCCACGGCCGGTCAGGCCGGTCAGGCCCCCTGGAGAGCTAAGTTGACTTAAATCTTGGCCAACCAAGGTTTTATGGGGAAAAAAACCATAGTTTATGGGTTTATATAACCAACTTATAGCTAGGGCAGCGTTTTTGGCCTCACCATGTAGGAAAATGTGTGGGATCTGACCGGAAAAATGAAGAGTTTCATCAAGATTGATGAGGAGTTTGATCAGCAACAAAAATATGGACTTTGAGGGAAAAGAAAGGAAGATATTGATCAAAAAATACTTCAATCAACAGAAATCAGTGGGAGTTAACCCACGAAAAGCGTGATAGGAAAAACATTTCTTAGGTGCCCCTGCTGCTTGGGAAAGGATGGCTCCAACATGCTCTGAACAAAAAATGTCCTTGCGCAGGGGTCCATTGGGCATACTATCTATCATCATAATTGGGATGAGGGGTGACCGCTCTATGAATTCAATAACCATTGGAGCTTTGAACCTTCCATGTGCTCAACCAACAAAACCAAACCTTCTTTCCCCTAGGACAGAGTTTCATTTTTCATGAGGAGTAAATCTCTTCCAATTGAGCAAAGCTCAAAATCCTCTGTCATTCTCATTATACATATCATACTGGTTGGTTAAGAATGGGATGATGATACCACCTAGTATTCTTCCAGGAAAGATCAGGAAAGTATATTTAGAACTCCCAAACCAAACAGTGATCCACCCGCAAAGCTCAAAAGCTGGGCCCACCCAACTGCCGGATTGGATGCTTTCGAAGCACTTCTCAGCATCAACCACCACCTCAGTCCAGGGTAAAGCCCAGAAAGTCCTGGGGAAAACTCTCAAGATCTGTATCCTGGGACGGGATGGAAAAAGAAATGATGAGGTCATCAACATGCTGAATGGACTCTGATACTTCAAGATGCACAGCCCAGGCCTCTTTGTGGCTGATGACCCCGGCTATGGGGGGTTGGGTTATAGGACCTAGTCCAACTACAACTGGCGTTATACCAAGTCACACCGGCTGTGACTTAGAAGACCCTCACCAGTTTAACTCATCGTGGGAGCAACCAACGCGCGCGTTGGAAAATCCAATGGGCTGATTATGGCCCAGTATCACAATTCCTCCATCGCGGCGAAACACACTGAGCCATTTACAAACCATTCACCAAGTTTGCGGCATCCAGATTTGATTGACTGGAGTTAAGATCCTGATTTTGCTGGTTCGTTACCGAATTTGCTCGTTACTGTCACACCATAGATGTTAATGTTTAACATGTTAAAACATGCGTGCGGTTTAAATTCCCTCTTAATTCCCAAGTTCACTTTAAACAAAAAAAAATACCCATCATTCACCAAGCATAAGCTTTTCCACTTTACCCCAAGGTTTTTCTGAAACCGAAAACTCTCCACGTTTTTTCAGGTTCAACCAGCTAGAACCAGCACCGTTCCACCTGAGATCCCCCAACTCTCAGGGCCTCTTCCAACCTGCCGCGGAAGCCTAGGACCTGCGCGCGCCAGAACAAGGCGCCCGCACCTCGGAGGACGGGGAGGACGGGGATCGAAGGTGGGTAATCCGGGAGTGTCATCCATTCATCGGGATAGTCCATAGGTGTATAGTCATCAAGATGAATGGATATACATAGAGTCATTCAATGTCATTCATCCATTGGGATATACAGGATATACATATAGACATCAAGATGTTAGACACTTTTTGACTTGTCTAAGGATGTTGCATATATGAAAAGTGGCTTTACTTCATGTGGTTATCTTCATTTCATAACTTTCATGCACATCCCATCCAAGTGAGTTCCAACCACCAACGAATCTCTCGCCAAGGGACGGAGCTGTTTGCTACCCAGATGTCGACCTGACGGAAAATGGTGGCCGGCCGTGGGAAATCATGTCTGATAGGTTTTTTGGGGGATGAATAGTTCTCATGGGAAATCATTGTCTGATGGTTCTCTGATTTTCTGATGCTTCTCACAGTGAATTGCTGGATTTTCGGATTACCGATTTCTCCTTTCAAAAAAGCTGCAGCCACGGAGTATGTCGGTCACTGCGCATTTGCAGAACAAGGTTCATCCAATGATCCTTCCGATCATTTACGCCATGATAGGATGATGTCTGTTTTCCTTTGACAAACAGCTGCACCAAAATTTGGTGGCTCTGAAAACCAACTGCACAAACTCTGAAATCCACTGATTGTTTTGCCAAGTTGATGAAAAAATCCGGGCCCTGCCATGTCTTTCCCAACAGGTGCCCCCAACAGGCTGTGATTGCATCGTTCACGGCCCGCATGGCCTCGGGATCCCGAAAACCAGTGCGAATTTCTGGTTTTAGTGGAGGCTCCAAGCAACAAAAATAAGACCTGGTCCATTTGGATAGTTGTTTCATGGGGATTCGATCTGCATCCTGTGGTTTGGCTGGTGAATAGGAATCTTACTCATTCCACCTCTCACTGATCTCCAAAAACCAACCGCAGAATGTACAATGAAAGCAGGCAGAACTAGTTCGCAGTTGTGTGAGATGTCATCTGAAGCACGAAAAGTACTCCCATCCCATCCCACGGTATACCTATTATGGGTTATACAATCCCCAATAAACCAGCTACAAGTATATGGTATAGCCCCCTATGTTAACCCATCAACAGTGGTGTTCTTCATAGCTCATCTCTCCTTCTGCCAGATCTCTGCTGTCTCTCTTCGCCAAATAGAATTGGTCAACTCCATTTGAATCTTCAGTACCAGTTCCCATAGTATATCCATAGTATTAGCAATTATCAGTTGCTAGTTGTTAGTTTGCAGTTACCAGTTATCAGCCATTATGATTGGCATTAGTTCTATTAGCAATTCTTTTAGTTATAAGTTATCACTGAAAAATAGAACTAATATCACTATCTAAAATAGTTTTATTAGCCATATTATCACTGAAAAAGACAAAAAAAAAATCGGCTCCCAGAGTCCCCTTTTCCATTGGGCTCCCCGGGCCCTCTCCGCTGAGGCGCGGTAGGTGGATGAGGCCAGGGCCTGGCTGAAATGGTTTCAACAGGAAACCAACGGGTTTTGCTGGTTTTGTGGTACCCCAACTTCCAGGAAAACCCGACAGGCATTACTAAAAATCATGTTTTTAGGAAGTAAAAAAAAAACTAAAATCAGGAAACCCCATAGTTTTTCCATTTTGCAGGTACTGAAGTGGCGGAGAAAGAAACGACTCAGCTTCTTCCTTCCCAATCCTTTTCCATTTAAAAGCAATGGGAAAGGAAAAGAAACTCGCCAAATCTGCCATCTTCACAAAGAAAAGGCTGCGCATCAAATGTTGATCAAAATGCAGAAAACCCCTTCCCATAGTCCCATAGCCACTCGCAATCAAACATGGCTGGCAGATCCCGACATTTTCGATGATTTTCCCAGCAACCTCCATGGCCACACGGGGATCGAGCCTCTTTGGTCTCACCTTCCGCCTCGTTGCTCATCTTTTTCAGGCACGCCTGGTGATGGCGATCTTTGGGAAAGGACCAAGGCAGGTGAGGTGGTCGTCAGCCAATCATTCCGGACATGAAATAGATAGATGTGGAATTTCAAGATCTTCAATTGTTTTTATTCAATTTTAGTAAATCATTATTGTGAAACCAAAAGCCCAATACTTCATCCCCACCACCACCATTTTTATGAAATTTTAGTAAATTAAAAAGCAACACCATCACCACAATAATGATTTACTAAAACAGGGGAAACAAAAAATGTGAAGCCCAAGACTTCACCACCACCACCACCAGCCAGCGCCTGTGCCAGGTGCACGCAAGCCACCGACTCAGCCGCCTTATCGCCCACTTCCTGGAAGATCTTCTGCGCCTCGGTTTTGGTGGTTTTAAGGTGGATCCCATGCTGATTGAAACCACAAAATTCATGGGGGATCACCTCAACTGGGGAAATGCGGGACTTTCTGAGCCTAAACTTCAGCAGTTACTGGGATGATCACTGAGTCACTGGGGATGGTCCTCCTGGTGGTGAGTGAAGTTCAGCAGAAATTGGGGAAAGAAACTGACAGGAGCTGAAACAAAAGAGTGTGAAGCAACCAACCAACAAAAGATCAAGTTGATAAAGTAATTTGGGACTGAATCGGTTCCCAGCAGCCCTGACACTCTTCTGAATTGGAACAGCGAAATTCATCTCCAACTCCCCACTGCCCAAATAAAGTATTAAACGAAATGTATGAAATTAGTGTAGGTGAATTTATTTAAATGGATTATCTTCAATTTGCATTTTTGGGCGGCCTCTCATAAAGTCATTTTAAAAAAGAAAACAACTTCCCAAAAAGAAAAAACTCCCCCTTACTGTTTCTTAGATTTCCCCATATTGAAAACACATCCCCAACAGCACACCCTCAACCCACCGGTTTTCTGCCTCCAAGCCATGCTTCTCTGCTGCATCGTAATCCTGCCGACGCTGAGTGGCTTAACCCACCGGTCTCAGGCAAAAAGAAATTGGAACTGGGACAAAGAAGCTCAACCATCAAATGGTCGATCGTTCATGGGCTCAAACTTTGGGGAGCTATTCTGCAAGTGCTCACTGCTCACCCTCTCTGAGATGTCAGTTGTTGAACTTGCCTGCTGTTACCCTACGAACCCCAAAAAATTGTGCGCTTATGCACGCCTCAGAAACGGTGGGGTACAATCCCAAAAATTACAGAAGTTGGACATTGGACATGTTCAAAAAGGAGGATGGGCCGATGGGTCAAATAAGTCAAATAGCTCGGATTCATGGATCTTGATCCATCCAAATATGGTATGTATTTTGTGAAACCACCCGAAACCACTGGGGCATCCCGCTGTGCTGCCCAAATGGATTCGCGCCTCAGGTCGCAAAAGTTTGGTGATTTCTTGATGAGATGACTGAGATGATATCCATTTCCTGAGTTTTTCTTAGTGATTTCTTCGTGAAATCAATGGATAGAGCCATCCCTCAACAAGATGATGGAGGGCCACGTTCAACTGGATACACCACGAGGCCATGCTGCATCAAACCAATGGGATGAAGCCTACCATCGCCATGGCTCTTGACCCAATGGCCAATCATTTGTATACGAAGAAATCATTCGAAATTATGGAAATAAATTAAGTGAACTGTGATGTAAATCCATCTACAGTCACCTGTTTTTTTCCGCCTGGCTCAACTGGTCCTTTTATTGGGAGGGGCAATCTGAAGCCTGAAGCAAAATGTCTTCTAAGACATGCTTTCCAAGCATCAGGCTCCGTTTCAAGCTGACTTGAAAGTATTACGGAGATTTGAATAGTTTGAAACGTGAAAATGTTGGTTTGTCCTAAAGTTGTGGATACGGGCTACCGCTTTCATGGCCTTTTTGATGGAAAAAAAAGGATGATTAATATAACCCATCGGATGGAACGGAGTTCCAGGTTTTCAGGTCACATCGGCTGGGCATCCTGACCAATTGCAGTACAGCATCGCCCTCTTCCTGAAAAACACGCACATTTGCAGACCGGCCCCCCCGGTTGATACATCTTAGGTTTAGCCTCGTGATGTGGTCGAAATTGAGTACCCAAACAGTGGATAAGAATGCAGATTAAAACATCAAATGGGGATATGATATGAATAATTGATTATGATTTGCATTGATCATTAGTACTATATAGTACTATATAGTACTATCATTAACAGTATCGTTTTTGTTGTTATGACGTAAATTCAAACCAGAAACCATCTCCAATTTTGGATGGGATCGAGGTGTCCGACATCCCAGCATTGGGAACTTCCGAACTGCCCAGAAAATGGCAATGGACAACTTATCTATGGTAACCAAAAAAGATGATGTCATTAATTTGCCACTCGTTTGGAAGTGGACTTACTTTCTCCATCTTTGTCTGGGTTGCCAAACAAAACAGGGAAGTCAATGGAAAGTCAATGGATCGTCCCAGCTAAGATCACTCAGTTCCCGAGATTTGCACCTTGCGACAGCCAAGGCCCTGTGCAAATTCAGCTGTGGAAAGGAGATCATATCCAAATCGTGTCCATTTTCTGAAGTCACATCTGGTTATGGGTCAAACCCTGGTACCCGGATGGTACCCTAAAGTCATAGCTGGTATAGCTGGAGATTCCCCCAGTCATATGGTCATAGGTAACTTGACCCATCCCAAAATCGCATCAGGTGAGGTCAAATCATGGCTGGGTCAATGGGATTTAGGAATCCTACCCTTTGGTAAACTAACAGTTTGCTATGGAAAATGCCTCATTTATAGATGATTTGCCTCTTCAAAATGCTGATTTTCCACTTCGCTATCTTAAACTACCAGAGGGTAATGGGTAAGTGGTAGAGATCCATTTTTCTAAGCCAATTAGATACGGTAAACAACCCGGTCGGGAGACTTAAGGGTTCGTGAGATGCACATCCACTCAGCTACCCATCTACCGTGTTTTTTTTGTTGGGATCAGCACTGACTCACATTGAAATACCTGGTACCGTAATCTAATATAACCATGAAAAAAGTCTCAACTACACCATGTTTTACATTGATTTACCCATTAAAAAATTGCCATGTTCCGTAGCAAAATGTGAAATTATTGCTTGACATGTCCAGTGTATTCCCACTATATGCCCATCATATCCCGGTTTTTCCCATGGATTTTTGTTGGTAAAATATGGTACAGTCCCTTATCCATCAGGGTCTCAAGAAAAATTCCCACCTCAACGGCCGCGCCTTCCAAATGGCCCGGCGATCCTTGGCGGCCGACGCCGCTTCGTCAAAGTTCTCCTTGGCCAACTGAGCCTGGAGCCGAGGATGGAGGTGTCCATCCTAACGGGGTACCCCAAATCCTTCAAAATTCAACCGTTTTAGTATTGAAACCCATCTTTTGGAGGATCCGTCTAGGAAACCACCATATAGTTGGAGATAATTTCATGATATAAATGTATTGGACAGGTATAGTGATTATGTGTGTGTGTGTGCGTATGCGTATATATATAATATATCAAACAACTTTGTGTTTTGCTGAAGTACAACTATGGAGATGTTTCTATGGTATACTTGTTGTAGTGTAGTTAAATCACTATTAAAAGATAAAAAAAAAACAATGTCCTTGAACAACCATTGAACACTCCTTAAATATCCTCAATATGATCTGGAACCATTTATAACCAACAATCATGGGGGTTATCGCAAGGGGATACAATAATTATGTAGCAGTTCTAATAGTTTCAAAACTGCCGTGGACTAACTGCCAGTTATAAGTGTTTTCCAGGAAAAAAATATAGGGATCATGGGTTCCAAGCATACCATTCAGTTCCGAATTCGGATTTTTTTCGAAATGGAGCCTCCACCATGATCGAGTGATGGTGAAGGAACGAAGTGTGGAGGGCACGGGGCATGCAACTACATATATATCTATATATATATGTATCTGTGTGTGTGTGCGCACATGTGTAAAATATGTTTTGCATACATAAACTACCCGGCGCCTGGTTTACCGCGCGTGTGTTTTGGCATTTTCTCAAGAGTCTTTATGATGGCCTTCATGTTTATCTCTTGGTATTTGCCGGACTTTTGAAGCAATCATCATCATGTTTGGTCACAAAATGTGGCTAATTCCATTGTGTTTTATTTTTTCATAATTTTTCGCTTGTATTTGCAGGCTTTTGTGAACGCCAGGAGTAGAAAGAGGCTGTTTCAGGATGCCTTGTTTTTTGATGGATTTGCGTTTCGCCACAGGGAGACAACAAAAAATTCGGACTTTTCGGTTTTCTCTGGCGCAGCACTTTCACTGCATGTTCGCTCGAAGAGTCTCGGCGTGTGCAAGTGCAAGAGACGAGGTCGGTAGCGTAGCATCACGTATGTGTGCAAGTGCAAGAGACGAGGTCGGTAGCGTAGCATCAAGTATGTGTGCTAGTGCCATTGAACGTTATTAGCCCACCCCACCCCACCCCAACCCACCCCACCCCATCGGCCAAAAAAACACAAAAACGCACGTACGGTAAACCAGCCGCCAGCATAAACTATTATAGTGCCTATTTTATAAACACATATACTTTGTAAAAAATGATTTAAATATGAATATATATATATGTGTACATATATTAGTATATTATATATTATATATTATATATTATATATTATACATTATATATTACATATTATATATTATATATTATATATTATATATTGTATATTATATATTATATATTATATATTGTATTATATTATATTATATTATATTATATTATATATATATTGTATACATATCACATGTATATATACATCTATATCATTTACATGTGTGTATATATATATATACGTACATATACCATATATATATATATGAATGTGTATATATATATATATACGTATATATATATATATACGTATATATATATATATGTACATATACCAAATATATATATATATACACACACGTAAATATAAGTATGTACGGATTCAACTGACAAAAATCTGTATAAGACTCTTCTCAACAAAGTGCCAAAGAAACCCTTGAAGCCTAACCCAACACGCCTCCGTGACCAACTGCAGCGCCGCGGATTGTCCTCCGATGTGCTCCTGCTCCTCGTGGCACCAATGACAGTTGAAACCCCAGGTAGCCACGGAATTTTTGATAAACATCGATATCCACATAAATCTATGCTTGTCTATGTGGCTAAGAGTACAGATTTATATACATTTTTGTGAGTATGTTTTTTGGAAATGATCTTTCTTGTTCTGTTGACAGCAAACCCTTGTTTTACTTTGTTTTACCCTTTTCAAGCTAAGTTGAGCTCGCAAACTTCCTGCGGACGAATGTCCATGGTCACAACCATGGCAATCATAGGAGTCCGGGACATGAATTTGCGGGGCTGAAACGGCTGAAACCATGGAAGTGCGCGACTCCTTTTTTTTACAGGTATGGCGGGCCATTTTGGAAGATGAGGTGTGTACCAAGAGCTCGAGCTCGATTAGAATTTCAAAACGAAAAAAAGGTGGTCTCAAGGTACTCTTGGAAGATGAGGTCGGCAAAAAGCGTACGAGACTGTTGTGGGAATTCAATTTCCAAAAAACTGATAGTCTCGGACCAACCCCGGATTTGTGCGCCGACGATTTCACATCCGAAATGGCATCGCTTGATGGTGCGTCCGCGGGATGACGTCACAGCAAGCCGTGAGAGTCTGCACCTGCCACACCAAACCACCGCGCCAACCTACGATTCCAAGCACGCAGTGGCAGGAAAGGGCGAGGCCTGCCACACGAAACTGCTCGTTATAGAGATGGGCTTGACAGAGACGAGTGTTGGACAGAGATAAGTCCCAAGAGACAGCTTTGCTAGAGATTGGTTTGATTGGTTTGGGAGAGACCAATTTGATGGAGATGAGCTTGGTGGAACTAAGTGCGCCAAAAATAATAAGCTTTAGAAATCAGTTTTGCAAGAGAGATAAGTTTGCTTGATACAGTCAATTTGGTATACCTGGCATTGTATCTGACATTCTATCTGACATATCTGACATATTCAGACGTTCTTGTCTATGTAAAATATTCTTCGACACAAATTCTGATATGTAAAATCTGGCGATCTGGCATTTTAACGGTTCAGGTCCGGTGCCCAGAGAGACGGCGAACTTATAGAAATACATATGTGTATTTCCCATATTTCCCATATAAGAACATACATCCACTTATAGAAACGCATATGTCATCCATTAAATATAGACATATGTCCCATTAATTTTCATCCAATATGTTGTCTCAAAACTCACCCAACCCATAGCGTCATAGCTGGTTGATGTTGATCCTCCAGTCAGATGGTACCCTCTGGTAAACCAACAAAAAGTTTTTGAAGCCATGGCCATAGAAATAGTTTATTTACCCGTTAAAAATGATGAATTTCCACCTTTTATAGTTGATTTACCTATTAAAAGTGATTTATAAATGTGGCAAATCATCTATAAATGAGGCATTTTCCATAGTTTTTTGTATGTTTACCAGAGGGTAAAATTCATAACTTAACCCATCACCCATCCCTCAGGGCATCTGTGTTCCAGCCCAGTTCCTCGAAGATGTCATGGGCCTCTGCTGCCACGCTCAACATCTCCTCGGCGCCTCAACGTAGGGATGGATTGAACTTATGGGAATTGCCAGTGGGGTGCCATAGTCATGGGGGTACCACAATAGCTGGATGGTTTATAATATGGAAAATCTTACAATAAAATGGATTTGGAGGTACCCCTGGTTAAGTGGGATAAGTGGGATAAGTAGGGTTAAAATAACATAGAATTTGTTTAAAAAAAGTGGATGCTTTAGGGTACTCCCATTTTGGGAAACCTCCATTTGGGTCTGTCCAAAAATTCGTGGGCGAAGCGCAATTTATGGAAATCCCCAGGACACTCGGAAAAATTCTGGCGTTGAGTTCTGACATGTTCGGACTCTTCCGGTCTCCGTCGGAAAATGCACATAATGAGGGAGGCAACCCAACTGGTTCTTTCATGGGGTTATGGAAGTTAACATGATACTATCTGAACTACTCTACTGGGTCGATTCTAAGACGAGTTCCAAGCAGCCACCTGCATCAGAGCTCCTAGTGGGTCTAACGTCAAGACTCAAGGAAGGACGGGCTGATGTGTTAGTCATTTTCAGAATGAAACCATCTTCCACCATGCCTTTCTTGAGGGGGTACCCAAAGGAAGAGGATGCATGATTGAATTCAAAATTGCGAACATCTAGTTTTTATCCTGTATCATCGCACATCAATCATCAGTTCCCAGTTTTCTGAACAGTCCCCGTTTTCAGGATAAAAAGTCCAAAACGAACTTCGATATCTTGGATATCTTGGATGTCTTGGATGTTGAACCCAAAATTCCATGGGATTTCCATATGTTGAGTTTAGAAAATGTCCACCCCGCGACGAATCTTGGGCCCTTGGGCTGGTTGGAGCTGAGTCCACGCCCAGGATGGACGCCTCGCGGCGATCCCGGTGCCAGCATGGTGGTGCCAAGTTTCGCCAAAAAATATGGAGATAATATGGATGTAATATAAATATAGTCCATATATCTGTCTTATGTGTATATACAGATATATTTAGTATTTATATATATATATGTATAGATACATACATCTAGGAAAAGTATCCAAATTTTGGGGGCGAATTGGGGAGTATTTAAGATTCTCGGAATGGGATTACTCGGAGAATTCTTCTGGCTGTTCATATCACTTCCCCTTTCATCAAAGCCGCACCTTGTGGACCAAGGCCTTTGCTTCCCCAAGCCTGGAACGAGCGAGGTCGTTTTTTGCCTCCAAATGGATGGATTTAATCACATTTTGTTGGTGAAAGTGGATCCCAACTTTCAAAAATTGTCTCGGTTTTAGGAGGAAATGGCACTACGGTCTTCCCACAGTGATCTAGTGAATCGAGAAAAAATGACTGGGTCCAAATCTGCAAGTCCTTCGAATTGTATTGAATTGTACAGCGCAAGACTGTCACACTCTCGACTTCATTTTCAAGGACTCTTCCCAATCAAGATCTGACACGTGTCTTTTCCATTCCCAAACTCCAACATGTCCCCATAGAAACGTGTCCTTTCAACGATGGCACCAACGGGTCCAACTCTCCTGTACTGAGCTTTCTGATAAAGTTCTCGGGCTTTGGTAGCAGACTTCAATCCCTGTCGGATGGGACGAAGAGGAGCAAAACAGCAATTTCGACTGGAAAAATTTTGGTTATGGGGTTTTATAGTACCCATTTTCAGACTTGCCCATGTTCACTGGATTGCAGGGAAAATCTGGAGACCATGAAATATAGGAGTTTCCTCCATTTTTCCGCAGGTCGTAATGCTTGCAAATTCAGATTTTATCCTTCATCTCCCTTTTGAATACTGGGTCTACTCCCCATAGCTCTCTCATTTCTACCCAATAGTTGCCAAAAAAAAGAATGTGATTGCAAAATCCAGTTGTATCATGTTCTTGGTCATAATATTCTTGGTCATATTTCCCATTACATCATCTATACTATCTATACCCACTTTTCTATCCCCATGAGTTGTTGCATCCCCTTTCTTTACCATCCATGGTTTCTCTTCGCCCGGAGATCGGAGATGGTCCCAGCACCTTCAGCAGGGAGGGTCGGTCCAAGGTGCCACGGGCCAGCAGGGAGAACAACAAACACCTGCAGCTGGGGCAGTTTGGTACCTGAAAAGTGGAATGTGGCCCCCAAGTCATGACAGTTTATCATGGGGAAAAACACGTGTTTAACCCCTCAAAAAAAAAGACTGACAAAAATAAAGAAACAGACCCATATACAAGTTTTTGGTCAAACTTGTCAATTGATTACCATTTTTTAGGATAAAAAAAAAAGTGTTTAGAGGAAGTCATGGCCAGTGAGGCATGTCCAGGCTCTTCAGTCAGGTCACTCAGCGTCGCCCTCCTCCTTCTTGTCCTGCAAATCCTGGCAACTGGGTTTTCCCCAAAGCTGTCATCCTGCAAAACGGGACGATGATGGTGTGTCAAGGCTGCGCAAATTGTTGAAGCTGTCGTTAGAACTAGGCATGGTTATCATGGTTATGATGGATTTTTTTGGATTTTAACATATTTTAACCATAACCATTGCACTATAACCATAACCATTGGAACTTCAAAAAGATGTGTTATCCATGGCTATGGTTATCATGGTGTACTTCAACCTCCATTGGACCGTCCAGGGCGCCAGGGACCCGCCTCGGCCAGGGCACAGGCGTCTTCGGCCGCCTCCAAGGCGTCCTGACGGCTCTGCAGCTGGACGTTGACCTCCGCATGGAGGTACTGCAAGGTGGTCTCCAGGCGCTTGTCCTGGCGATCATTGGATAATGAACCATGGTATCAACCATTGGATCAACCAATTGAATTATTCATCAACCATTTCAACCGTTTCGTCATATCAGTGAAAAAAGTGAGTTTCCAATGGTTGATGAATTCATTGGTGATGGATCAGTGAAAAAAAAGGCTTATCTTACTTGTGCTAAACGTAGGGAATTTTAGGGAATGATCCACTGGCTAACTATCAATAATTATCCCAGCAACCCCCAGCAACCCATGCATTCCCGACGTTTAGCACCAGTAAGTTATCAATGTTTATTGATTGGTGAAATGGATGAATAATTTCATGGTTTCCACTGATATGGTTGATCATGGTGATGGTGACAAATGATGATTAACGGTGGTTATGGTTATTAATGGAATTCTGTTGGATTCAATCATTGTACATCTCCTGTCATTAATAAGTATATATGTAATATTATATATATATGGTGGATATAATTTAATTGTACCTGCTGATATATCAGATAAAATCTACTTTTGGAAGCGACTATCGTAGTCTAGCCACTAGGCGAAGAAAATGTGTATCTATTGTACTGATATGATATCTCGTATATCCAAAACACCCTTAAAAAAGGTTCGAAATTCAATCCGACTAAAATTAGGATTATTTCATTACTAAACATCCAAAAGTCAAACTACTAAACTGCATCTTTCTTGGCGGTAAATCATAACATGTCTGCAAGGAAAGTCTCAAACTGACCCTCTCCGAGGAGACTTCATCACAGGCCAGGCGTACGCCGATCTCTCTGGCAATATCGATTGCCTGACACTGCTCTGAAAGCTAGGATGACTTCAGCTCAAAAGAAGTCGCCCAGATAGATGGAAAGTTACATTTGCAACAAAATCTATAGCGGCCATCTCAAGTAACAATATACAAACAGTTAAATTATGTTAAATTATCTTGAATTGCGTAATCAACATACACAAAGATAGTCTAGAACTATCTACAACTCATAACATAACCACTGGCGTATATCCATTAAATATCCATTTCTGTTGCACCGCCACAATTTTGGTTGGTCACCTCATCAGTGGCTGTGAGGGCCAGCTCGGGATGATCCCGCTTGAGCTGCGCAGTGGCCACCACCACCAGCCTCGGCGGATGCGAATTTTGTCAGCCTGAAGATGTAGGGATACCAAAAATCTGACAAAAAATCTCAGGAATTTATGGGATTTTAGGTATCAATGGGGTATCCCTAAATCATAGATTTTTGTTTGATCATCCCAAAATCTTAGAAATTCATGGGATTTTAGGATGATCAACGTTAAAGAAATAGCGTTTCCATTGCTGGGACGAGGAAAGTCATCTGAATTTTAGGGTCTCGAATCACCACGATACGTATGATACGTATCTGGTTATGACATTCACAGGGCCAGCCATGGAAAGATCCACCATGCTATTAAGAACGGTAAACTATCTATATTTCGATTAGGGCCATGACGTCCATGGCTATGTTAAATAACCGGAGGGTAGTTAAAAACAAACAAAATAAAAAATCACCAGCCTATTTTTGTGTCCAAACAGGTACCGAAAGCAAAGAACTTGACAAATACCGGGCCCAGCAGGCTGAGCTGGACCCACCCATAGACGTGGGCACGATCACTGACCTGTGGCGAAGGTGACTAAGGGAGGAACAACCCGAAGATGGGGATGTTTGATGTCAACCAAACATGATGTATATATATATACAAGGGCCCAAAAAAGATAGAAATGCAATGCATTGCTACTTTAGTAGGATTCTACTTGTCTATCTTTTTGGGAGGTGCTATAGGGACATATGAAGAAAAACAAAATACCGGGCTGTAAACTAAGAAAACCTCTGCATTCGCCGAGAAATTGTAGGGAAATCGACCCGAAAAACTGATGAGCCACAGGCTAGCCAGCCCTGAAATGTCCCAGAGACTGCAAGCAAATAACATCATATTTCCACATCAAGCCAGCAAAAGCACCCATCCACCTCCATCCCAACTCTTATAAAACGAACCCCACTTCTGTTTATTGGTTGAGTGTCACCAATTTTCACCCATTTAACTATAGACATTATATGTATATACAGTATATCCGCCAGAAATAGAACAGTTAACCATAGTTATCCAACAGTTCACAGGCATTGGTCAAAACACCTGAAGAAGTATCTGTTGGAAATTCTAATTAGTTCTATCCCCTTTATTATTGATGTGAAAAATTGGGACATTTACCAATCCCTCGTCAACCATAGTTCTCCATCAGCAAGTAGTTTGCCATCACCACGTCGGGCACCTTCTTGAGCCGATTCAGACATTCCTCCGCTGCCTTCAAGCCGCGTCGGACCTTCTTCACCTTAGGCATTGGAAAAATACCAAGGATGAAGCAACATCATCCAGTTTCACACCAGATTACCCCGGTTCATTGGGAAAGAATAGATATTCATATCCATTATCCATGAGTTTATCCAGTTTCATTATCCCTATGAATTTCACACCAGATATTATTACCATGGACATTCACGGAGCAGGCACTGCCGGTGAGGAAACCGAGGTTCCCCACTCCTGCCAGCGCCTCTACCAGCAACAGGCATGACCGCGCCTGAACAAAAAGCGGCCTTAACAAAAACGTGTTTTGTTTTTGAAAATTCTCCAAAAACGAAGAAAAATCGCAACTCTCATCGGTTCTTAAGGCTTTCGTAAGTGATATCTAAAATCTTCAAAAATGGCAACTGGTGTGTTTTTGTTGGCGGTTTCGGTTTCGTGATATCGACATCTCCTGAGACCCAACAGGAAGCGTTCGAAACTTCGTCCTGGGCCTCCTCTAGTGGAGGCGCTTCAAGTTCCAGGCGCAACGCCAAAGCCTGGAAGATATGGAAGTGTTGGATCTCAACATGGAGACTGATGAAAATCTCTAGAAATTGCCATGGATTTTATGGTGGTTCCTATGGAATCTCTAGAAATTGCCATGATTTTATGGTGGTTCCTTGGTTCATAAAGATTCAAACATTGATGTGTTGAAAACATCTCCCAGTTGGTATCTGGAAAATGGATCATTTTTTGTGGGGTTCAAAAAGATTAAAAAAAACTGATTGTTGAAACATCTGCAGTTTTCGCAAATGTCAAGAATGAAATTGGATTAAAAAATGAACCAAACAACTCTCTGAGGTGAGCATCGAAAATCTTTGAAAAGCGCTGGATCAGGCCTCTTTCGCCATCACAAGCGCCTTGTGAGGTTTCTCCTTGGAAGTCACGTGACATGGAAAGCACCATGCACGTAATGTAGGAAACCATCTACAACCAGTGTAGCTACTCCATTGGCCCGTTGAGGCCCGTTGAACTGAAAGCTGCCTATGAGACCTTCATCCGCGGGATTGAAGGTGATAGGTTTAGGTTGGAAGACTCTGTAATCTTTGAGACAGAGATCACACCAAAGACCATCACGGAATCTGACATGGATTTCTGGTTTGTGGGTCAACTACTACCACAACTCTCAGAAACACATATCTCCGACCAGGTGTGCAGTTCCCACAACCTACATATTGTCGCTTTGTTCTATAGTCACAGAACACACTGTAACAAAATCACAAGCATCATCCATAAATTAAGGTTTCTATCCTCTTCGTCCCCTGGAGGTTTGCTGAAATGGGTGGAAAACACCCCCCAGTTCTCATCCAGCTATTAGATTGAGATTTTCCATATCATCCAGCTATTAGATTGAGATTTTCCATATCATCCATTTTAGATTGGGATTTTCCATGAAATAAACCAAAAAAAACCAACCAGTTTAAAATCATGGAAAACCCCCATGTCCTGTGTGACGCTCCACGACACCAACGTCTCCAACAGGACCACCTCTGCCCTGGCGCGCAGAATTCGCAGGGTAGCATTCCGGGGACTGCCTCCTAGTTGTATGGGATGTATCATAGTACCCTCTGGTAATTTGTTACATAGCTATGGTATAGATGGCCATGGAAATAGTAATGAATTGTACATAGTAAACAGATAGTATGGGTAAACAGATGGTTGGTGGTGCAATAACCATCTTGAAAAATATGAGTTCGTCAATGGGAAGGATTATCCTATGGAAAATAAAAAATATTTGAAACCACCAACCAGATGGGATGTATCATAGTAATTCTGTATGGGTTTTAGTGAAACAAAAATGATAGGGAGAGAGAACAATGATTGTACATAGTCATGTGTTTGTATGGGTTCATCAATATGATCTGTTTGATCCAAAATTCTGAGTCGTGGTGTTTATTATTGGTGTTGGTCATGCATGCTTTTGCTTGTACCATCTGGTTATTTAACATAGCCATGGAAAATCCCTGAACTAAATGGAGGTTTATAGCTGGAAAAAATAATCTACAAATGGGCTATCTATACCATGGCTATGTTAGTCATAACCAGAGGGTAAATCCTATAAATCCAACTTGCATGGCCACCTTGGGTGTGTTGCTTCCCCATGCGCCTCTTGTCCCCAGAGGCCCGAATCAGCTCAAGGGCCTGCAAAGACAAAATGGCTTTGATAACAAAATCCTACAGTGATTATAAAAATGGTATAGGATTTTCTACAATAATGGTATAGATTGTAGGGTTTTCTATCACTGTAGGTAATTTTCCAATCCTACTAATGGTATAGGATTTTCCAATAATGGTATAGATCTACATTTTCTACATTAGTAGGATTGGAAAATTGATTACCATTATTGGAAAATCAACTAAATTGATGGTGTTGATTGGAAAACTTCACGTGACAGGTGTAGAATGGGAACAGAATCCACACCTGTCATGTGGACCTGCTTATCATTGATTATCCCCATCCGACGAATGTGCCCGAATGATAGGAAAAATGTTCAACCCTATAGTAATTCACATGCTTCAGCATTTGGGTAATCACCAATGGGGAATGATTGCGCCCCACCAAACCATGGCTGCATCATGCAGCTCATTGATGATCCAAAGTCTTACGCCATTCAATGCATCTTGCTAAATCATTTGGGGCACAGAAGCACGGATCAGTTTTTGGTGATCCTAAACATCCCATTTTGATCCATGTTAGGCCTCTCAATGAATTGACTGGTAGAAATTTGTGATTCGCAGGGTTTCCAGTGCCCGCAACTTGCCCGCAACGCGCATTTTCGATTGCCTCCAAACCCTTCTTCATCGCCAAGTCGTAGTCCTTGTTTCAGTTCAGCCAGAGAGGCTTCACTAGCGAATGCTTCACACTGGATAGTCTGTCCAACCATCTGATGTGTAATTTTTCAAAATTCAATAGCCACACTCTAAAATTCGACCGAAGTTTCTGGCTTACTGCAGCTCCATTTCCCTAAAATTGGGATAGTCACTGGTAATTCAGCGCTTTGCCATGGAAAATCCTCATGTTGAATAGGTCAATCATCTACATTCATAGTTCATGGGTCCTTTTTCATGGCTATGTTACATTACCGGGGAGTGCATCAATTATGTGGCCATGAACATCAAAGCTATCAAAACTGAAGCCCTCTTAGGATCAAAAGAAAGCAATCGAAACCTCCAAGTCATTCACCTAACCCACCTGCAACTTCTTCCAATTCTCGAAAAAAAAAACGTCAAGAAATCCCTCCGAATATACACAAAACACACTCAAAATATGCAGAAAATATTTTTAAAAAAAAAGCAAGAACGATATGCTGCAAACTATTCCCCCAAACCTTGGCCATGACGTGGGAGGCGGCAATGGCGTGCAGCCTGGGTTGCTCATGGAGAAGCCAATCATCAGGTGCCCAACAACAGGTTCCCGATTTGAAATGGCCATCACTTGGTGAAATCCTCATGTTGGTGAAATGAATCCCTGTTGGGTTGATGATTATAGGGAATTAGTATAGCGACTACCCGGCCTGGTAAACGTTTACATAACGAACTGGAAAGATCCACCATTTTTTTATGGGTAAATCAACTATTTCTATGGCAATTTTTAATAGCTATGTTAATTTACCAGAGGGTATCTACCAACCATTATAATGAAATGACGACCCATCCCCCATCTTGGCATCCCGACGCCAGACCCATCCCCAGCTTCTCGCCCAACCTCCGTGGTTTGTGGCGGAAAGCCTTTGAAAGGGATTATAAAATCATAAGGCATTCCTGATCTCAATGATATCCAATGATATCCATATGGTCCATAGGAATCATTTTACCATATCATTGAATGATATCAATCAGTTTCATGGTATCAACATTCCTAGAATCTTTTGTACTCAATCTTGAAAACATTTCTCACCTGGTGTCTGACCAAATCCATTGTGGAGACTTCTGAAGATTGAACAGCTGGTGGTTGCTGCAACTTTCCATGCAACCATCAGTGGGGAATAGTAAGTGATCTTTGAACATACTTAATTACTCATCGAGTTCAAACAGACCACTTCTCATAGCTGGGTGCATATTAATCTAATATTATATAATTACTTCTCCGCCTTTTATTTGAGGTATAATCAACTGTGGTGAGGTATAATATCATATACGTAGTATAGTTATTTCAAGACGTAAAACTTATACTTACTTTTAATTTGAGAAATTACTTTGCGATATTACTTAAAGTGGAATACTTTAAGATATATATTAATATACCATTTTAGGTATTACCACTTTAGGTATTCTCAACTGTGGAGATCACTAGGCCACCAGGCGAAGTGAACATCTCCAATGCCTCCGTGGCCGCCTGGAGACTTTGCCGTGCAATGGGGCAGAACCCAAGAGTTGGGGGGGTGAACAATCCGGAAGATGTCATTTATGGGGACTTCAACTATACTCAGAAGATGGAACCCAAGAATTTAAGTGACTGGAAACGGAAGATCAGGAACATTCAGGAACCCCCAACTCTTTTGGGAACAACAAAACCAATCCATTGGTTCATATTCATAGACGTAGCCTCTCAAATGGCTTGTCAAAATTGTGGTGCTACCAAAATTTGACGAAGCTAATAACTTCATAAAACCATGAAATTGGACCACCACAATTGGATTATTGCTGAGAAAACTTGAAGAATCAGTCAATCTATGGTCCCTCCAGGGCTGTCAGAAATTTTGACCCAGACGGCCTGGAAAGCTGATTTCGGAGAAGCTCCTGAGGGGCAGGATATTCGATTCGCAAAGGTTGGTGGAATTGAAGTGATATTGTTACTGAGAATGATGATTCTTACTGCTATACTTGGTGGCCTGTGAAAATTGCAACCACAACATGTTCTGAGATATGTCAAGAGTTGGAATATAGACAGATAGAATCAACAAGAACGGCATGCCAAAAGCAGACGGTTTTGGATTTTGGGGGACACTGGCTTATAAAGTTTAGTAAGCGCTGGATTGACACACAAAACAGAAAAACCAAATCCGTCGATTCAATGGATTGGTGGCACCTTTCGACCTAGCACTTCTGCTGGAACCCTCAGGGGATGATGGGGGGATCTTGCAAAATGCTCAGTTGATTTGGAAACAGCCATCTGTGACTAACATCCTGCAAAACAGGACGTCCAGTTGCCACGGCTTTTCTCGGCTGTATTATTTGTTACCCCAGCCAATCTTCCCACAGCCAACCACAAGGGTGTCTCTTCAGCCCATTCTGAACACCAAACACTCTGACAATCATCTTCCACCCCGGACGAAAAAAGAACTCCGGGCAGTGCTTTCCAAGTTCGAATCATTGAAAAACATAGAAAAAATCGTTACGCCTTTTATTCTTCCGCCGCCTTTGGACAGAAGCAGGGAGATCTCCAATTTGGTCATCCTCGGCCGGGTACCCCTTAAGGTACCCCGAAGTTGATGGCTGATCATCATTTTCCGAAATTGACACACAAAGGGGGTCTCCTGAGATCTTTGGACAAATCCATACCACTCTTCAGTGATATCACACGGCACTAGAAGTGTATCTTTGGGGCATCTTTGATGCTGCTGCTTGGATCAACCAACAGGATAGTGTTTCAACCCTAAGTGAGTTCTGCTATCGCATCCAAGTGGGTGATGTACTCAGTTCTACCCGCAACTTTCCAGGCCGTTTCGGCTCCCCCATTCCCTCCTGTGATCAAAGCTTAGAACGGAAAAGTAATGAAAAGTACTCATTTCCTGGAGGCTCCACTTGGGAGTGCAGTTCCATCTATAAGTGGATAGAGAACATTATGTGACATATAGCATTATATAATCATGTTATACATAACCATGTTATACATTATTATTATTATTATTACTATAATTATTATTGTTATTATTCATGATTGTACTATATTATACCCCAGTTATAAAGGCAAGCACAGCAACATCCCTCCCCCGAACTCCCTGCATCTGAAGTTGACCCAGGGACGCTTGGAGTCTGCTGTCGCCGATCGACTGGAAGAGCTGGAACGCCTGGTGGATGGCATCAAAACCGCCGTTCCGCATCCCCGACTCCCCGAGCTTCCTAGAAGTCTGAAAACACCTTGACACCAAAAAAATGTTGACAAAAAAAAACAGAAAAAAAAGACCCAAAAAGTTGGAAAACACATCCAGATTTTCCAAGTCCAACCTAAACCCCCGACTCCCAGCGGCAGCGGCCTCATTGCCAGCCTCGAGAGCCTTGTCCCTAGTGGCTCTGCTGGGCACCCAGCCTGGATCATTTGGAGAATATGTTGGGGATTTTTCTGGGAAAAAATGTTGGGACACATTCTTGGGGGAAAACTAAAAAGATGCAAAAAAAATGATAGCAAATGATTCCAAGCGCATGTGTTGCGACGCGGAGTTTGACGAAGGAGTGTTCAAGTTGTCTTGTGGTGGATTGTTTTCAGATTTTTGTTGGGTGGATGTTCCTTTTTGTCTCAGTCTTACTCTTAACTTATCATGGACTCAGAAAATCGGGACGTCCGAGTTTGGGGACCTTTGAAGTGGGAAAATATGCCCAGGCCATAGGCTACAGCTATCACCTCAAGGAACAGCTCCAAGCTCTCAACCCCACCTGTGGCAGCCGTGCCGAAGGACAAGATGTCCAGGAGACCCAGTTGCAGAACCGCCTGCCAGGGTCAGGGTAAGGCATCCAATGACTTGACCCAAGAATTCCTGGTGAATGGCCCCCAATTCCCATGGGCATCATCTGTTTTTTCCGTTGAAATTGCCATAGATGGTGGTAAAATGCCCCTTTTTTCAGAGAAACCCATCCAAAATTCCATGATCCATGGGTGAAATGATCCCCTACTTTGGCTGGTTAAATGCCCTCAAGATCCCAGGCTGACAAGGTTTGGTCGCCCCACTCCTCTCCACACCTGGGCCGTTTGGTCGTTGGAGCTCTTGGCTTTCTCAAAGTCCTGGAAGCCGCTCTGCAAGACATCAATGGCTTCGGCAATATCCAGTGCTTCTGGGGGTTATTCATCTATTATGGCTCTTAAATGTTATTAATGGTTATTAAACAAACACTCATCATCACAAGCGCAATGCTTTGTCAAAGTCTTTGTTGATGGGGGTAATGGTTGGTTTTCTTTTAATGCTGTTTCCTGAAGGAATTTCTGAGTGCTTGCCATCTAAGGGGGGTCAGGTCAACACACGACATGGATCAGACACACCAAATGGTCAAACCCTTCAAACATCCGCAGTGGTGCTCAAACCCTGATTTTTTTCATACAATTGTTTCTGAAAAAATATCTAGACATCTTTAAAAGCCTTTTGAAAAAATGGAAACACCTTCTTGAAAAGCTGCCCGCCCACCTCGGAGAACAGCTCCGCTGGGTTCAGCGCACGTGCATCCTCATCGTCCAGATATGCCTGTGGCAAGAGGCTGAAGCCGGGAATGGGTTCAAAACCATAGACCTAGGATTTCAAGTGAGTTAAACCCATCAAAAATGTGGATTTAACATGATTTAACCAATTGACAATGGAATTTGGAACACCTTTTGGCATTTTTTTGGGTACAGTAGGGACAACAATGTGTCATTCAAATGAAACCCAACCTAATCAACCTACTAAGAGATTGGGTGTTCATGAGTCCGACTTTGATGGTAATGAATCAACCATCCAATTTGGGGTGCCAATGATTTTGATGCCTGTGATGCACCTGGCGATATTCGAATGCACAAGATTCCAAAATGCACATCGGAAGATAAAAATGTCGCCCTTTGGATCTTCGAATCTCTGGGGAATCTCGTGCAACTCTTCCCTTCAGACATCGCTGACCTGAACCTGCTGCGCTTTCGCCAGCACTCGCAGACTTTCGGCGGAGCCCACTGCATCACCTGCCAGGGCGAACCCACGAAACAAATGAGTTGACCAACAAAAATGAAGGTCTGCTCCAAGAAATCTACAAAAATTGGATTTAGCCAAAACAAAATGAAGATTTACTGCAAGAGAAAATGTGCCTCAACATGCTTTTCTAAGTAGACATGCACGGAATAAAGGTACATGGTTCATCCCTATGATTTCATGGGCTACCCCAGGTACTAAGTGGGTCCCACACATCTATAGCCCTTTTTTTCATTTTGCTGCCCCATTTCCTCAGAAACGTTGGGATTTCATTCAGGGACACTGTTGGGCCTTGATTTCCAGACGTCGCCACTTTGAAACCCGGTCAAAAAAGGCCAGACTCAAACGCATCTGGATGCTGTCACGCTTGGATGATGTGAGATTTGTCAAAATGTCCCAGATTCTGGACACTCAAATTGCCATGGACCTGCCATGGACCTATCTTCCAACAGGTCCCGAGACCCCCGTTGGGACCTGCAGATCTGAAGGCCTTCAAGGCCGCTTCCGCTGCCGTGATGGCACCATCACCCTGCAGTTTGTTCAGGTGACCTTCGGCAGCGATTAGCTGTTTGGCCTCAGATCCATGGCAAATCCTGGGGTTTTCTCATCTTTTTACATGCTTTGATGTCGAGCTTTCGAAAACACGTTGTGTAACTTTTTGGGATTCAAGTGATTTTTTTCGAGTTCATTGATAGAAATTTCAAGTTGCCCACTTCTTCTGTTTCCATTGCCAGGCCCGCACAGCCAACCAAAAAAAGCCGCGGCTGGAAAGAGCTTTTTGTTTTCAACAAAACGCACATCTAGACTGATACGAATTTGTAACAGTTAGGAATTCCTGCAAGATCCATAAATAGATCCTGACATCTCTAGGTTCCTAGAATAAGGATACTAACATTTTACCATTTTACCATTGTTTTTCCCTTGAGAAATGACCCATTTTGGAGCGCAGGAACTGAGTTCCCAACTGCTTCTGATGATTTGCTGGCAAAACCTGGGACAACATGCGACAACCACAACACTTCCATGGGATTCCGACAAACGTGTCGGATATCTTGGTTTTAAAAAAACTGTTGAAGATTGGTACAATGTTGGACCGAACTTCAGATGCAGTGAAACAAAGAAAGCATCCTGAAAAATGTCCATATCTTTCATATCAATGGGTAAAACCACAGTTTTTTGATGGTTCAATCCCCATTCCCGCTGGGTTTATGCAGAAATCTTCGTTGCACTTCTTCATCCAAAATCCATCTCCGAGCTTCTGGCGATTCTCAGCTTCATGCCGTTCAGCAAGCAGAGGAGTTCTGGGAAATTCAAGGCGAGGGAGGCTGGGAAAAAATGGGGGGGTTGTTGGTCAATTGGTCAAGTCATATGGAAATATCCCGGATGTCTTGAATTGACCTGATTGTTGGTGATCACCCCTTAGCTAAGTGGGATGTACATCCAAGTGGCCCCCCAGCCAGGAAAATTTGGTGTTGCATGACCTTGCACATCAGCAAGAATTCCAACAGAGATTATCACAAACAAATCACTTCGGACCCACAGGGGTATGGGTAGAACGCCCATTAAATAGAAGGAAAGCTGTGTGCTGAGTATAACAACCCAATTGTTGGGTCATTTGGTCCTGACCCATTTCCATTTGCTGCTCAACTTGGGGGGAGGCAAAATTGTTGACTGCCCAGGAATGGCCAGACTTTAGTAGGTCCAAACCAATGACCAATAAACCCAAATATGCACATGGCTGAATGTTACTTAGCCACATTTTTCACCTGTACTCTCCAATGTTTAGACGGGTAAACTCACATACATAATCATTGGTATAATATGTAGTGTATATATCCCACGAATTCCATGCTATGTCCATGTTCACATCACTCTTAAGATGGCTTTTGTCTGAAGATTGGGTGCCCATTCCATCAACCGGTTCATCATGAATCACGGCCCTCCATGTCGAAACGCCAATTCCATCGTTCAAAACTGTCGAAACCGTCGTGGTTCACGAAAATCCGCCGACCCCGCTTGCAGCAGGGGGAGCGCGTCAGAGGAGGAATTACCAGCAGCAAGGGCCAACAAGTCATTGCAAGCAGCAAGGGCAAGAAGCAAGAAAACAAGAAAGAAGAAGCAAGAAGCAAGAAACAATTCCGGCAGACCCGGTCCGTCCCTCAGGGCCCTGCTGTTTGGCTGTGGCGCAGGCGCCGTTTTGGGTCAGACAGCTAGGTTTTCTTGTAGGTTCAGAAAGCAACGTTAGGCACTCACGGCCGTGGCCCGCAGGCCCGGTCCGTCCTTCACTGCCATGGTGTTTGAGGCCTGCGACAGGGTCCTTGGACTCGAGCTGACGCCAGGAAACAGCAAGGTTTGAAGCTAGTTTCTAGGCAGTTCAGAAAGCAACGTTTGGCAGTATGGGCTGCCGGCCGCGGGCCCGTTCCGTACTTCACTGCCATGGTGTTTGAGGCCTGCGACAGGGTCCTTGGACCCGAGCTGACGGCAGGAAAAAGCAAGGTTTGAAGCTATAGTTTCTAGGCAGTTCAGAAAGCAACGTTTGGCAGTATGGGCTGCCGGCCGCGGGCCCGATCCGTCCTTCACTGCCATGGTGTTTGAGGCCTGCGACAGGGTCCTTGGACTCGAGCTGACGGCAGGAAACAGCAAGGTTTGAAGCTAGTTTCTAGGCAGTTCAGAAAGCAACGTTTGGCAGTATGGGCTGCCGGCCGCGGGCCCGATCCGTCCTTCACTGCCATGGTGTTTGAGGCCTGCGACAGGGTCCTTGGACCCGAGCTGACGCCAGGAAACAGCAAGGTTTGAAGCTATAGTTTCTAGGCAGTTCAGAAAGCAACGTTTGGCAGTATGGGCTGCCGGCCGCGGGCCCGATCCGTCCTTCACTGCCATGGTGTTTGAGGCCTGACAGGGTCCTTGGACTCGAGCTGACGGCAGGAAACAGCAAAGTTTGAAGCTAGTTTCTAGGCAGTTCAGAAAGCAACGTTTGGCAGTATGGGCTGCCGGCCGCGGGCCCGATCCGTCCTTCACTGCCATGGTGTTTGAGGCCTGCGACAGGGTCCTTGGACTCGGCAGGAAAAAGCAAGGTTTGAAGCTATAGTTTCTAGGCAGTTCAGAAAGCAACGTTTGGCAGTATGGGCTGCCGGCCGCGGGCCCAATCCATCCTTCACTGCCGCGACAGGCAGTTCAGAAAGCAACGTTTGGCAGTATGGGCTGCCGGCCGCGGGCCCGATCCGTCCTTCACTGCCATGGTGTTTGAGGCCTGCGACAGGGTCCTTGGACCCGAGCTGACGCCAGGAAACAGCAAGGTTTGAAGCTATAGTTTCTAGGCAGTTCAGAAAGCAACGTTTGGCAATATGGGCTGCCGGCCGCGGGCCCAATCCGTCCTTCACTGCCGCGACAGGGTCCTTGGACTCGAGCTGACGGCAGGAAACAGCAAGGGTTGAAGCTAGTTTCTAGGCAGTTCAGAAAGCAACGTTTGGCAGTATGGGCTGCCGGCCGCGGGCCCGATCCGTCCTTCACTGCCATGGTGTTTGAGGCCTGCGACAGGTCCTTGGACCCGAGCTGACGGCAGGAAAAAGCAAGGTTTGAAGCTATAGTTTCTAGGCAGTTCAGAAAGCAACGTTTGTGGGCTGCCGGCCGCAGGCCGATCCGTCCTTCACTGCCATGGTGTTTGAGGCCTGCGACAGGGTCCTTGGACCCGAGCTGACGCCAGGAAACAGCAAGGTTTGAAGCTATAGTTTCTAGGCAGTTCAGAAAGCAACGTTTGGCAGTATGGGCTGCCGGCCGCGGGCCCGATCCGTCCTTCACTGCCGCGACAGGGTCCTTGGACTCGAGCTGACGGCAGGAAACAGCAAAGTTTGAAGCTAGTTTCTAGGCAGTTCAGAAAGCAACGTTTGGCAGTATGGGCTGCCGGCCGCGGGCCCGATCCGTCCTTCACTGCCATGGTGTTTGAGGCCTGCGACAGGGTCCTTGGACCCGAGCTGACGGCAGGAAAAAGCAAAGTTTGAAGCTAGTTTGCAAACAGCGAAGTTACACGGTGGGTGCGTATTGGGCTCAAAAACACAGGTGGTGACAACACAGTACTGTTGACTCGGTCACCTCACTTTTTCCTCGAGTAGCACGGATGTGCTAAAAGGGGCTGCGGTCACGTCAAGTGTCTTACATGACATGCCATCTCTACTCCTAGCTAGCTACTTAGTTCTGAACTAGGTGTTTTACGCCTAGCAAGTTGCCACCCTCCTTAGAGTGGACTTGTCGGAGTGAGACGCTACTGGTGAGACGTCCCTACATCCCCAGGAACCGGTCTTCAGCCCGTCTCCATTGTTCGAGTTCCGCTGGAGACATGTGGGCAAACGGATCGCTCTGCTCGATGCTGGCTGCATCGGCTTCGCTCTCCGGTTCCCGGGTCGGCGGATCTGCCCGCTCAGGCGGAGCTGCCCGCTGTTCAGCGGTGCTGCCCGCACTGGCTGGTGCCGCCTCGGACTCACTTGACTCAGAGTCCTGGAGGTCCGACATGCCGTCGGGATGCTCTCCTCGTAGGAGAGACTCTTCTTGGTTGCGCCATTCAATCAACTCCTGTATGGTCATTCTGGCCTCTGCGGCTTCTTGGACCCAACGTTCTTCGTGCCACCTCTCGATCCCTCGAGGAGTAAGTTCCTCAGGAGACCGCGGGGCTACCGCTGGTGTCCGCGGGTTTGCCGCCGGCTCTGACCGCGGGGTTGCCGCTGGCGCTGGATTGGTCAGCGTTAGCTGCTGATTGTTTCTGATGGCAGTCACCCTGAGTCGCAAGGTGATCTGCTGATCTTGGATGTGCAATTGTACCTCATGGCCTGTTTCTTGTGCTACTGGCTCGATTGGACATAACCAGTCCACACAACAAGCGATGAACTGTTGTGCCAGTTTCCATATCAGCACACACGTGCCGATTGCGGCCAAGAAAAACAATGCATACCATTCGTATGGGGACAGGCAGTATGTTGGCTGCCCTGCCACTGCCTGAATTTGGCTCAGGACAACAAGTGCCTTGATGCACCCGACCAGTTGTCCATTTTGCCGATAGGCCGTGGCGGTTCTTCCCGCTCGATCTTGGTCTTTGATCCAACCAACACAAGCTGGCGTAGGAGTCTTCCACGCATGCTGCTTGGTTACGGTTGAGACCTTGACAGAGATCTTCTTGCTCGAAGAGAGCATATCTTCTCCGTCACGAGCTTCATACATGCCTAAACCAGGCATTGCTTGCCTTACTTCCGTTCCACTCTTTGGGTGTTTGGTGAGGAAGTTGGCACAATTCACGGTGCCCTTGACCTTGCCCAAAGCTATCTGCTTGGACTGCAAAGCTCCTTGCACATAGAACTCACAGACTTCTAGGTGTCTGAGCTTGGAACCTGGTCCAATGCGCTTGGAAGCTTGCATTGCCGATGAACTGTCCGTCCATAGGCGGGGCTTACCGCACTGCTGGCCAAAATCTCGGGTGATCAGCTCCTTGAGGAAGATGGCTTCCCGAGCTGCCCTCGAAACTCCCCTGAGCTCAGCGTCCGGCGAACTTGTCGCTGGTAGGCCTGGTTGGGTCTGTGTGCCACACGCGACGATTGCACCACACACAACGGCTATGTAACAGTCGGTGCTTCGCCGTGTTTCTAGGCATCCGGCCCAATCCGAATCGCTATACAATTCGCATGGCCACTCTGAGCTACAGTTGGGATCACAGGTAGTGACTCGGCCAACATGTGGGTGCGACTGCAAGTATGCCGCAAGGGTCTTGACGGCTTGCATGTCACATTTTCGCGGTTGCGACATGTGTCGCGCTGCTTCTTTCACCGCGTACTGGATTTCCCTCCTGTCCAGCGACAGGTAGATCGCTGATCCTACTGCCGAGCGATACAGCTTGGCATCTGCCTCGCCAAGAGGCTCCGTTTCTAAGAGGTTCAGTTGTTTGGAAGGAACCTCACTGCGGTCTCTGGCGGAGATTCCCGCAGCAGCGATGACAGCTTTGATGTGCTTCTCATCTGGTATCGTGATGATAGCATCTTTGGTTCGTACCTTGGTGCGACCCAGGTACTCAACAGCTGTTCCTTCGCTTTCGAGCTCTCCTGCTTGGACCTCACAGTGTTTCGGCATTTCGACTTCAACCAGGTGGTTGACAGCCTCTTCTGGTCCAGCCATACGGATGTCGTCTATGTGGTGAATCAGGATGATCCCTGACTTGTCACAACGGAAGACACATGGATCCTTCTCACCACGAGAGAAAGAATACCGCTGTGGATCAACTTTTGAGCAGAGGATTTCCTCCAACTCATTTCTGTAGACGGATCCGGCTGTCCTTCTGCCGCAGAGGTTTCCATCCAACCTGAAGAAAAGTTCTTTGAACGATTCCTTGTACCAATCCTTCAATTCGGGGCTGAGAGTTTCTAGCCACTCAAGGAAGATGTCGTACCACTCAACTGGTGCACGCATGTAGACATGCTTCCCTTCGCTGGCTCCTCGGTCAGCTCCAATCAAGAAGGCTGCGACGATGTCCAGACTTGGGGCGTAGTAACCCTTTGTCAGAGCATAGACCTCCAGAAGATTGTGCGCTTCTGGGGTCGGAGTTGGAACGAACACGTCCAATCCCTCCTCCTCGGCTGCTGTGTAGCGAGCCTTGACGTCAGCGCATGTGAAACGCGACTTGTATGCTCCTTTGGAACACTTGTCAACCCATTTGTGTGAGAAGATTTGTGAACCTTTTGGGATTTCTTGACGGTGCACGGGTGTGAAGGCACCTCGCTCCCAAAGCTTTTGAAGTTGGACTTTTCGCGCTTTGGTGACCTCCTCTGGGTCGAGCAATTGGTCGACGAAATCCGTCACATTGGCTATCCTTTGCAAAGCCATTGGATTGCTCTTGTCCTCGGAGTTGGCCCATTCTTGGATGTGGGACCATATCTCATGATTTGTTAAATGCTGCAAGATACCTGCTTGCCTGGACTGCTTGGCTTCAGCTTGTCCGGGTGCAAGCGCTGCCTGATCATCCCTTACTCGCTTCCCTCCTTGACCAAGTCCGCTCGGACTCATCGGTTAGTCCGGGAGGCTCTGAAGCGACGATGACCATCCCGCACCTCGGAAGGGCGGAGGCTGCCCGCTCGGCCTTGCTGCCGGCGGAGGATCTGCAGCTTCAGATCTTGCTGGCGTGGTGGGCACGCAGCTGAGTGCGTCGTCGTCGTCCGCGGGGATACCCGCTGGGAAGTCCTCGGCTTGGTCGCCAAGTAGGTCTTCCAGCTGGGCTGCGGCTTGCACGACTAACCCATCCTGGTCAACGTTTTGACCATCTTCTGCCAGTGTCGGATGTTCTTCCTCCGGGGGTTCTGATGCCAGCGCGGTGGGACCCGCTGCGGCTGGCGCTGGGAGTGCCACTGGCTGTGACAGCTCTCTGTTGATCTTGTGCCTCATCCCGTCGCGGGGTTGCCAAGGAATTCCTTTCATGTTGTTCATCAGCTCTTGACTGATCTGCGATTCCTTTGGCAGTCTTCTCACCGATCTCACGGCGATTGCCCCAGACGACGTGCCAAGCACATTGCTGTCGTCTCTGTCCAGCTTACCTAGCCATATGCCTTTGATCCACCTTCGCTGCATCTTGCCCCTCGGGGTCGGTACTTTACCAAGAACTACTTCGCCTAGCATGGCGACTGGGTGTGAGTAGTCGCTGCCAGTTGTCAGGCGGTAGGGCGTGAGCCCATCTTTTCCTCTCACATGGAAACGTGCTATCAGCCATGCCGCGTGGCGCACAAGCCACGGTGTCAAGTTGCTGGACACGTCCAAGGAAGGATACCGCTTCCTGACGTCGAGCCACAAAGCTCGGATTTGGCTTGCTACAAACCCATTCATGGATTCCACAGCTCCTTGTGATTGGTGCTGCTTGGGCGGAGACTCCCGCACAGAGGCTCGGCTGGATCCAACATGTCTTTGGATTGACTCAGCCAGTGCTCTGATTGAGGGCTCGCCATCATGCTGCAGAATGACTTTGTTGTACCCAAGGTTCTTCAGGTAGAGGTCCACATTTTGCAGACAATACCTGGACTGGGCTACCTCGGTTGACTTGTTGGGAAGTTGAAGTGCCAGCGGCCAACCTGTCACCGTGTCAGTCAGACACAGGATTGTGACCAGTCTTGACTCATCTTCAACCTCTTCCTCCTTCTCAGGAGAGAGAAAGAAATAATCCATCTGGATCAACCCTGTTCCCTCACGCGTTGAGGATTGATCCCTCCTATGCCAATCTTGTTTGGCCTTACCCGACACGCACTCTTCACACCATGGTTGAAACGGTAGGTGTGTAAGGCGATGGGATTCCACCTGCGCCTCAGTGGGGCTTATAGGTTGTGACAACCCCTCTGGCTCCACAGGTGGCGGGGCTTCTGCTTCCTCCTCCAGGTCTGCCAAGAGACCGGGGTCCTGTTCCAGAAGCTCCTTGGCCTTTCTCACTTCTTCTTCACGCCTGGCATATTCTTGCACTGCCTCGGCTTCTTCATCCTCTTGCATGGCATAGGCTTCAACTGCCATTGCATCTTCATCGATGGCTGCCACCTTGCCATATCTGGTGGTAGGTTGCTCCAACTCTTCAAACGGAAGGAGAAACTGTTTGCCCTGCCTGGCAAACGTGGCTTTCCTGCCATCTGCCCATTGGATGTAGCAGTTGTCACTTTCAAAGTGGACACTGGCTCCAATGTCCAATGCCCTGTTGACTGACAGGATGTTTTCGTTCACACCTTCAACCACCTGAAAGGTGACTTGAGCTTCTTCTTTGAGCTTGTCTCCAAGCCTGAGCTGAGGGCGGACTTCCCCGCACGCCTTCAGTGGAGTGTCATCCACCGTGTATAGTTCCTCAACGGCGTTGGGGTCCAAGAGAGCACTTGGAAAAGCCTCAGGTCTACAGACTGAAGAGCAGGCTCCTGTGTCCACCAGCAGTGTGCCTCTGCTGGCAACCTTGGCCACTCGTGCAGTGTCACTTCTTTGGAAGACTTGAAGTGCCCATACCCTGGTGCCTTGAAACGTCTCGTGTGGCTCATGCAGGAGCTTCCATTTCTTTCTGAACTCCTTGCAATCCCAGGCGTTGGACTCTTCATTCCACTGCCACGTTGACCTAAACGTGTAGCCAGGATACTGTGACCCTGGTGTAGCATACTTTCGTGTGGCACCATTCTTGCCTTTCACCACAAACACCTTGGTGTTGGGATCAGGGTCGTGCCATCCAGGTTGGTCTCGATAGGCAAAAATTGCTTCCAACTTGGATACAAGAGATTCCTTTGCCAAAATGGCATTGCCAGTACAGATTTCTCCACCTTCTGGTATGGCCAAAATGGCCTTTTGTGAAACATGGCGGTGTTGCCCGCTGCTGGTGGCCTTGACCATGAGAAGTCGGTGCCCGATCATTCCAACGTTCTTCCCTTTGTTGGATGTGGTCGTGGATGGAAGGGTGATTACACTTTGACCACCAACTTGAGATGCAGATGGCCCTGCAGAGATCACTGACGCATTGTCTTCAGTGATACCTGCAACTCCTTTCTTGCCCTTCCCCTTTGGTTGGCCTTTTGAGTTGAACCAACACTTCTCAATGGTATGGCCGGTTTTCCAGCATATGGCGCAACGATCCTTCTCCTGTTGACCTTTGCCACCTTTGTTGTTGTGGCTGTCTTTCCCTTTTCCTTTGGCCTCTTTTCCTTTGCCCTTCTTATTATCCTTTCCCTTGCCATCTTTTCCTTTCCCTTTTCCTTTGCCATCACCGACAAGGCTGATGTCCATGGCATCTGGATCTCTTGTGCGTGCGGCGGCTCCCGCATACGCGGCTGATGGCCTCCAAACCTGCTTTGCTTGCAGATAGGACACCACCACCTCACGCACAGACTGATACGTGGAAAGGGTTCCAATGTGCATGGAAAGGTGTTGCTTCAGGGCGGTCGGCGCCTCAGTAAGGACTACAGCTCTTTTGTCTTCGTCACTGATGGCCTTACTGGGACCATATTCGGCCTCATATTTGTCAAGGTCAGCTTCCCACTCTTGGAGTGCCGCTGAAAACTCTGCTTCCTTTGCAGGAAACTTGGGACTGAGCAACGAGCGCCGCCAGATCAAACTCTTGGAGTGATTGTCTGGGGCCATTTCACGCCACAACAGTCTCCAAAACTCAAAACCATTTTGGTCTCGAATGCCACGGGCAATCTTACTTGCCACTGCCAATTCTTGAGTCCACGAGTTCAGCATTGCAAACAATTGCCTCCCTCGGGATTTGGCTTCATCAGTCATATCGACTGGATCCACAAAACTGGTGAGCTTGCGTGCATTGTCCAAGTCTGCTGGAAAGTTTTCGTCCAGCAAAGCCAAGTATGTTTCTACTTGGAAACTGAACCGTTCCCATTGGTCTCGATCCTTTAAGGATTGAGGCTGTTTCACAGACTTGAGCACGTCAATATGATTGACCGGCTTACTGCTTCCGGCGGGTGTTCCCGCGCTCTGGAGCGGGGGAACTTGCCCTTGGGCGACGCCTACGTTCGCGGTCTGCTGCAAGGATTGCTGCAATAGTGCCATGACGCCTGTCAGGCGCTGGTCCAGATCTTGCTTTTCCTGCTGCAGCTGGGCGTTCTGTTGCACCTGGCTCTGATGGGCGATATTCAGCGCTTGCATCTGACTCGCTAGAGCATCCATCCGCAGCTGCATTTCGCCGATGACCTGTTGTGGGTCTGTCATCGCGTTCTTCTTCGGGCCTTTCGTCCACGACCTCAGTGGTCAATGGAGGCTTCGGTTGTTGGCTTGATTGGCTCAAAGCCCCTTGGATTTGGTCACACAAGTCCAATGCCTTACTCAGCTCGGCCTCAACTGCTGGGCCTTTGCTGTCGGCGGAGGACCGTGCGGTGCTCCCCGCAACTCCCGCTGCGTACAGTGGGGGCGCTTGGAGACGACGCTGCTCCAGCCACTTGGTTTGGGCTGCTACAGCTTCTGCTTCTCGCCTGGCGGTTTCCAGGTCAGGGATCTCGCACACCTCGTAGCTGCTGTAGCTCGAGAGCGAATCTCCCCACTCAACTTCCGTCTCGTTGCCAGATTCTTCTGCTGGCGCGTCAGCTGCCGCGGCTGCGATCTCTTCTGGAACCTCTGGCTGAGGCTGGTCCAGAATGCGCCGGGCTTCACTGATGTAGTGCTCGTCCGGTACCCTTGGAGGAGTGGGCACACGAACGGAGGAAGAAGCTGGTAGCTCCTCCTCTAGAACCTCTTCCAGTTCTTCTTCTGGAATGGGCTCTTGTGACTTGGCCTTCGCCTCGGCCCTGTCTCTTCGCCTGCGATCCTTCCGAGGGACCAGGCTTGCTTCAGCCTCTTCGTTCGCCTCTAAGGCTGCTTGGCCTGGGGGCGGGGCAGACCGCGCTCTCCTCTCGCTAGTGGACACCCGTGGGGGTCTACTTGGCTCGGGAGGAGCGGTGTCTCCTTGTTGCGGCTCTGTCTGAGTCGCTGCTTGCGCCTGTTGGGCTGCTAGCTCTGCCTGTCTTCAGCGCTCTTGTCCTCGATCGATCCGGCGCTGGGTCGCTGCAACGGATCGATGTCCACGACGATTCCTGTCTTGAGTGAATCGGCTATCTCTCCTTGGAGTTCGATTTGACCGGGCTGCCTCTTCCTGCCAGGTGGCGGCAGAGGACGCTCGGGAACGACGGTTCCAGCCTCTCGTCTCCGTAGAGGACGTTGGCTGAGTAGATCGGGCTCGGCTGTCCCAATCCCCGTTGTCTTGCCAAGAGCGGTCGTGCCACTGGTCTTGGCTTTGCCAGCTTCGATCCCACCAACTGGAGGATCTATTCCACGGATCTACGTGATCCTGTCCTGAGGACGTCGTGTTGTTGGGGTTTACCACGTGCCTTGGCACGCGGGGCTACCCGCTGGGATTGGCGATGTCGATCTCGGCCTTAGCCGGCGGATCGACCCGCACTGAACCTTGGAGCGGAGGGTCTACCCTCGCAGCTCCGCTACCATGCAAACAGCGAAGTTACACGGTGGGTGCGTATTGGGCTCAAAAACACAGGTGGTGACAACACAGTACTGTTGACTCGGTCACCTCACTTTTTCCCCGAGTAGCACGGATGTGCTAAAAGGGGCTGCGGTCACGTCAAGTGTCTTACATGACATGCCATCTCTACTCCTAGCTAGCTACTTAGTTCTGAACTAGGTGTTTTACCCCTAGCAAGTTGCCATAGTTTCTAGGCAGTTCAGAAAGCAACGTTTGGCAGTATGGGCTGCCGGCCGCGGGCCCGATCCGTCCTTCACTGCCATGGTGTTTGAGGCCTGCGACAGGGTCCTTGGACCCGAGCTGACGCCAGGAAACAACAAGGTTTGAAGCTAGTTTCTAGGCAGTTCAGAAAGCAACGTTTGGCAGTATGGGCTGCCGGCCGCGGGCCCGATCCGTCCTTCACTGCCATGGTGTTTGAGGCCTGCGACAGGGTCCTTGGACTCGAGCTGACGGCAGGAAAAAGCAAGGTTTGAAGCTAGTTTCTAGGCAGTTCAGAAAGCAACGTTTGGCAGTATGGGGTTTCCGTGTCTGTTTATTGAATGTTGTTTTCATGCATACTTTTGGTGCGCCTTTTCCTTGCGAAGACTACGTCTTACGCAAGGGAGGCAAGACACACCATCCCAAAATATGAAAACAACATTCCATGAACAGCCGCGGAAATCCCTGATATCAATTATTTATTTATTTATTTATTTATTTACTTATTTATTTATTTATTTATTTATTTATATATATTATGTCCTCGCATGTCTACCACAGCACATCTGTCCTGGGAGCTCCCGGTTGAACGTCCAAAGAAGCGCATCATTGAGACAAAATGGTAGTTGGCCCGTTGGCCCCCAACCAGGGCGAGGAGTGAGCCAGAGGAAGACATCAAGCTCCACTACTGGAGTGAATCTGGGGTCGGCGGCAGGGGGCGTAAGCCCTTTAATTTCCCATAGATGGCAAAAATTCCCCATTTTTGTTTGGATCTGTTCAACAATAGATTGACTATTGCCCATAATCATCGAGCAATCACCATACGGTTTTTTCAGTTCCGGTCATTGTTTGACCTCAGCACCTCCGTGGTGAAGGTGGAGGGGTGGAGGACAAGATTTGGCAACACAGAGATCTGTGAAAAACCGGGATTTTTAACTGGTCAAACCGCTATTTCTGAGGGTAATTTAACATAGCTATGGAAAGATCCACCATTTTATATGGGAAAATCCACTATTTCTATGGCCATTTTCAATAGCTATGTTAGTCATTACCAGAGGGTATTTCTGATGGTTCAATGATCATTTTTGCTTGGCGAAGTTCGCCCCATCCCAGTTCCTCACAGTTGAACTCACAACTGGCCTGCAGACTTCACCCAGAGGGGCGCGGGGCTCCAACAATGGAAATCCCTGGGCCATCCTGGCTGGCCCCAGATACGTCGCAAGGGGGGGTCAATGGTGTAAATAAAGATGTAAACTCGCCAAGATCCCCCTGACAATGGCTATCATTTATCAAAATACAAAAAAAAACAGTTGTAGCACCCCTGTTTCTTGTGACTTATGAAAAACCCAATGCATTTATTTATGGTCTATTGTGGTCGGTCCAACGGGCGTACCCTGCAGGACTCCACCTAAATCACCAGCAGGTTTCTACCATGGGCAGGGTACCCTGTTCCCAATAACTGGTTTTTTTCAGCTGTGCATTCAACTATAACTATAGACTATAATAATTAAATGATTAAAAATATAATCCCATTTAGTTGCCACGAACCGATACAACCCCATTTAATGTCTAAATATAATTTCAAAGAAATGCTGGATATCTAGATTTAATATGGTTTAACTCCAATGAAAGGGTAGATGTCCCATGACTATGGATATGGGTCAAACAATAAGACCTAGGCGACCAGACATGACCTGATCGTGTGTGGCATTAACCATCCGATTTCAAGGGCCCATGTTACACCACCCATTTTGGATGGCAATGTGATTTTTTTGAAACAATGACGACCGTACAGTGGATTTGTATGAAATACTGTACCTAATGTTTGATAATTTCCTTGCGGTTTTCACAGTTGTCAACCGTTCACCAAAGAAACTGCATGTTCGTGCAATAAAAATGAAAAAACACCAAGTTTTGACTTGCATGTGTTCAAACTAAATTGTTTTTTGGATCTTCAGTTTTAACACGGGGGAATTCATGTGAATTTTGTTTCAACGTTCATGAAACAATTGCTGAATACTTTGGTATGCTCTGAGCAAATATGCCACCTTTGATACAATGTGAACTAATTATCACCTAGTAATCCAATCCCATGATGATAAACACCCATGCCAAAACGAACAAATGACATTCCGCCAGAGTTTGGGAGGTGCCTGCCAGGAAAACGTATTTTTTCCATTTTCAACGGAGGTACCAAGATGGAAATTGACCACGAAACGCGCACTTGGCGATGAGTTTGACCATCAATTTGGAGCGTGCTACGAGCGAGACCCAAATGTCGCTGAAAAATGGTAACATTCTGGTTATCAGGCTGTTGGAGCCACCGCGGTCAACTCCGCCTGTATCCAACAGACCCAAATGAAATTGAAACATGATATATAATTCAACACAATTCACCGACCTGATCATTCTAGGAATGCCTCCGCCAAAAGTATCCATTCAGACACCGTTGTGAAATGACTCCAACTGAATCAAAATCCTTCCAAAAAAAAACGGGGTCCGCCCATGCTGAAACCATGCCTGGGCCGTTTGCCGTGCCCCCGGGGGCACTTTTAACAGCTTGAACCGTGAAGAAAACGCAATGGAAAACATTGGCACCAAGGGTCCAAGCATGCAACACCGATAGAACAAAAAGGTTGCTTAGACATCCAAAATCTGGGTATGGACACTGGAAAATGATGTTTGGTCAAATTTCAAAAAAATGTGGGCCTCACGGCTTCCTTGTGAAATCCCGGGTCAATTTCCTCAAACGCTGTGTTGTTCTCGGGCGCAATCTGAATGAGTCTGTAGGTTAATATATGATGGGTTTCGAGGGGTCGACTTAAAGGTAAACCAAAGTACCCCAAGGTTGGCCGAAAGTCGGACCAAAGTTGACCCACTTTAAATAGATTGATGCAACTCGTTCGGGCCCACATCAGTTGCCAAATACATTGCGGAGATATTCATGATACCTGCTGCAGAACAATGTTGCTATGTCTGTGAGTTTCAATTCATTAGCTGTGCTACCACCAGCGTAGATGATGTTCAGTTCATGCATGACAAAAAGTTGTCCAGATGAGTGCCCAAGCAAGAGTTAAAGGACCGGATAACCCCACAAGTCAGTTTCTTCCAAAAATTGCAAGAACAGGAGTTGAAGCGGTATAGAGAAGGCAGGAAACACAACGCAAAGTTGTGTGCAAGAACTGTGCGTCAAAGAGTTGTTGCTGAAAGAATTTTGTGTGAAGGGGGTGTATCTGGAAGAGTTGTTTGGGGAAGACGTGCATGCGCAAGAGTTGTGAGTTGTCTGTGAAAGAATTTTTTTTTGTCAAGCGAAATGCAATCCAAGCAGCCTATACGTCAGCAGTGCTGGAGTGAACTATCAAATTCCCCGGAAAAACGATTTGATCCCATTCGTCGCGGTCCATTGCTATTCGGGAAAGCGCGTTGCAGATCGCAGTGGTATCATACCAGTCTGCAAGGGAAGGTCCAAAATATATGTGAACCATGGACTGAGTGCCTGTGGCGTACATTGGATGGGAAGTTTCTTCGGTGGTGGGATGCTGATTTCTTCTAAATTGTTCAGAACGGCGAAAAGCTTCTGAGAGAGCAATTTCAGGCCAATATGGGAGGTATGGAAGATTATCCAGTGCTCTAAGGCTTCAAAATGCCGAAGAATATGACCGAGGAAACGCAATCGCTGGACAGAAATAGGCTGACTGGGTATCAGGAGACGGGGGGCATGACGGTAGGTAAGGGAGAGCAAGTATTCATTGGAACAGTCCTCCTGAGAAGGGTGAAGGACTCGATGGTAATGAGAGTTTTTAACTTGAAAGATTTGTCGCAGAACCATATAGTGAAGAGAATTGAACCCTGTGATCTGCGCAGAGGTAAAAACTTGAGATTCACTCCCATACAGTAAAATGGCAAGCACAATTTGCGCATACACCTGCAATTTACGCCGCGAAGGGAGGGACGGATTTGTGAAGACGGGAAAAAGGGAGCGAAACGCGCCCATCGCTTGCAAGTAGCGATAATTGCAGTCCGGTGCAGAAGATATTTGGCTGACTGCAGGGATGGGATTTGAACACCGAAATCATCTGTTCCCATGCAATGCAGGCAGGAGCAAGGGGAAAGTGGGGTGACATGAGGTGAGAGATGATGGAGAGATTGGAATGGAGGCGCAGAAGTTGGCATGTACCAGGGTTGAGAAGCAAGCCGCGCTTGCTAGCTTCATGCTGGAGACTGTGAAGGAAGCAGTGTAATGTAAGTTGGGTGCGGGAAACTAGAACTGTGTCGTCAGCATGCTCAACATCAGTCATGGGAGAACGAGAAGAGAATGTCCACGGGGTAAAGTGGAGCCGGGTCTCGAAGGAGAATTGGACATCATGCACTAAAACCGTCAGAACTATATGACAAACAGATATGGGCTGAGAGGGTATCCGCGGCGGATCCCACGTGAAACGGAATACGTGGCGGAGACATAAGAAGAGGAGGAAACAAAAAATGGTTGCCTAAATAGAGTGCTGCTATAGCATGCACAAAAGGGGGAAGCACGCCAATACGGACAAGGGAAGCAGCCAAGTGCTCGTGGCTAACACTGTCAAAAGCCTGAGACCAGTCCAGGAATAGAATATACAAGGATCTGGTATGACGCTCAAACAGTTCTACCATTCGACAGATGATGAAGAGAGGTGCGCTTGTGGATCGGCGAGCTCGAAAGCCGTATTGAAAGTCGCTGATGCGATGATCGAAGTGGAGAGCCAGCCGGCTTTGGAGCAAAGCAGCATAAACTTTGTAAATAGAGTTCGCCAAGCTTATTGGCCGATGTGAAAAAGGCAAACGGCTGTTCTTTGACCCGCCTTTGAAGATCATAACCACTCTTGCTATTTTCCAACGGTCTGGGGCTGAAGCAGACAGGAAGCAGGCATTGAAATACTGGAGCAGAAGGCGGCGCATTGCAAACGGGCGAAGCTTGTACAAGTCAGCACCAACGCGGTCAGGGCCAGGCGCCTTGCGCGACTTTAATCGTCGGAGTGCTAGGTGTAAGTCGGCAGCACAGGCACCAACTACTTCAACTTCAGCCTTGCTGGGACTTCAACAATAGTATTCTAAAGTTTCGAGTCCCCATGAGCCTCGCTTTGTCCTTGTGCCAATACGTTTTGCGTCCGAGGCCACGGCCTCGCCGAGCCTCGAAGCGCCTCGATTGCATGCTTTGGAAATGCAACCTCTTGCATCAACACAATAGAAAGGGAAAGCTTGTCATAATTTAGGCAAGGATGTACAAGAGGCTAGTTTTGGGGTTTATTTTCTGCACCTAAAACTAATATTATTTCTGGAGACGGATCCTTGTTCAAGGCTTTTATTGCCAACTCGATGTTGGTTTGTGTGAGGTTAATGTGTTTCTACATTGAAAAAGCGCAGCTGAAGAAGGTGCATAGGTGGGCTCAAAACCGGAACTTCAAGGAGGCACCGGATTCAACCTGCTGAGGGTCCACTTTTGGACCCCCGTGCAAAGAAATGTGTTTCAAAAAGGTCAGAAAATGGACCCGCTTGAAATCAAAGTGGTTCCCCCTGGAGGGTGCAGTTTTGGTCCCTTTTTGACCCCTTCATTGTGGCAAATTTGTAGAGGCGTTTATTTCTAGTGAAGCTGATTTGACCAGCAACAGCTACGGCTGGAATCTTGAACTGGGGAGGCCTATTTTTTGCGCGCCTGCTTTTTCTTCGTTTTGAGGTCCAAAAAAGGGCCCCTTCTTTGTCGTATTGTTTTGCTCCAATTTCCATAGCCTTGAGGTCCTCGAGGCCTGCCTCGAAGCCTGGCCTGCCGTGTTTTGTTCCACTTCCCATGGTCTCGCACTGGAGTTCAAGACTTGCATTAAGGCCTGCCTCCAACTTTGTTTCATCTTATAATTTTTTGGTTTGCTGCAATTTCCATAACCTTGAAGCCTCGAGGCTTGCCTTGAGGCCGTACCTTTGCGCCAGCTGCGGCTTAAAATTCTAGGGAGGCAGCAAAGGCACCAACTACTTCAAATTCAGCCTTGCTGGGACTACAACAATAGTATTATAAAGTTTCGTGTTCTACGGCTCGCAAGCTTCCACACTGCCAAACTTAGACACCGCCACGAGATATTAAGACTGGCAGAAAACTGTGTAAAACCGAAATTTGATATCTCCCGCCTTGCTTCAGCTGAAGCAATGATGTCGAAACTCTTAACAAAGGATTCA